GCAGCATCAGATCTATCCCACGATTCGTAGTCGTAGTACCTGGAGAAGTTTGTGCCAAAGTTGAACTTGCGCATCTCGGCGGAACGGAACGTGGTCATCGAGTCCATGATCCACTCACGAGCCTGTGCTCGGTTGACCTGCTCGATGATTCCGTTCTTCGACGAGTAATGGTAAGGTGGTTCGCCTCGACGATTCTGTCGTTGTACTACGAAAGCTTGTCGCATAGCTTCATCGAACGTGTGGCCATGTTGATTCCAGCACGTATTGTGGTACTCGCAGCATCCCTGGAACCATTTGTGGCATATGAGGTTGGGCACTACCCACGACTTGTTGAGGAAATCGGGGTGAAGGTATCCACAATTGGCCATGTTACAGTTCTTCTTCTCGAAAAGTCGGGGACAAAGCTGTCGTCGTATCTCAGAGATGGGGACTTGGGCCGTGTCGCTGACTACTTCGGGGTACTCGTTAAGCATCGACTCTGGAACAGGGGCCGTCATCTTCACCAGCGTGCCCTCGCAGAGAAAATCGAACCATGAGTCAGCTCGGGTACGTGCCATGGCTACGAAGTGACTAATCCAAATCGATGGTAATCGAAGTAGTGGGCTTGAGATGCCCTTCGAAGTTCCGCTTTCGAGCTTTAGAGGCAGCGGGTTCAGGATTATGTAATTCCATGCCAAAATCATCACGCAAAAGGTCTGCCAAATGCTGATTATGCAATTCAGTCTCATGTGCAAGAAGGGCTGTGTCGGTGTCTGGAGGAAGAGGTACATGGTCGGAGTCAGGGTGTAGAGAAGCCTCGACGACCTCGAAGGGAATCGTCAACTACTCCGCGGTGTCGTCGCGATTAGTGATGTGCAGGTAGAGGAAGGCCTCGAGAGTCGGCGGCTTAAGCAAGGTCGCCGCCAGATTGACAATGTCGTCACCGAAACAAAATTTCGCTCAAGCTGTAACAGCTTTCGCCAAAATGGCCACGGAGTATACAATCATTCGACATGAATCGGTGAGTCAATCCCCTGACCGATTCGGTGTTTAAGTGAGATATGAAGTTGTCACTTCGCACAAACAAGTGTGTGCTACACAGAAACCCACTCAAAGCAAACCGCCGGCACCTGAAGCCCGCTTTCGGTGAAGTGCTCCTGAGCCATTCCCCCGCCCCCGGCTTCGCCCTTCAAGTTGCTCGTTTGCTGATGGCAATGTGCTGTGCTTCGGCCAAGAGTCGGTTAAAGCTTCGACTTCAAACGGCTTCAGAATTGGAGCCGCAGTACAAAGGGCCTCGCACAGAGGGCGCATCTTGCCGGCTGGACATCTGGCATTCCGCAAACCGCTCTGAGATCGGCACGCGAGCAAAATTCGGTTTCGTGATACGGCTGGTCCGTGCCAGATCGAAATCCCTGAACGCATCCTGCCGTCTTCCGGTTCTGCCAACGATGTTGGCTGCAGTACATGCCGAAAGGGTTTCAAAGTCTTTCGTCGATCTGACTGGTCAGCGGACTGTGATACGTCCAAGCACTATTCCTCATCTCTTGTGCCATATGAACTCAGATCTCTGGAAAGGGATCCAGTCTGCTGTTTGCACTGGTCGCAAAGACGACAACCTGTGCCCGAGGGCCGACGACGACCACATTACCCCACCAAAACGACCACGACTACGGCTGCTACTACTACCCCACTACTATGCCCGCAGCTTCTTGCCCTTCGGCTTCCATCGCTGCTACGGATGCTGTTGCTCTTGCTGCTGCCACACTAGTACTATTTGGAGAAACTGTCATGCACCGCGGCTTCGACAATGGGCATTCTCCTTGATGCGTACTCGCCGGCGAAATACGTAATTCTGGAGCTGCGCGATCAGGGAGCCAATGTCACAGTCAACCACTTCCGAGTCCTGTTGTGTCCGGGCACGGGTTTGCTTACTGAGTGGAGAAACAGCTTGTTCGTGAGTGTCTTGCTTTGCCCTGCACTTGTGCAGGCCTGCTTGTAAAATCGACATCTTCAGTGTAGGGTGCAGGGTGTTTTCATCTTGCCCCCGTCCTTGGACAGCTCGCTAAGCTCGGCGCTCTCCATCCATGCAATACAAGACGACTTTGGGCCTTGCCAGCACGAGCCCTTCCCATGCACGGTGTGTCCATGCAGCAGCTGCTACTACCGCGGCTCAAAGTGCATAAGCCCCGAACCTTGCAAAGAGGCTCTGGCAGACCTCCAGGCAGACCTCACCCTCGCGAGAATGAGTGGTTTGCCTTTAGTGGCGGCACACGTGTCCACCACTCGCGTCTTGAGCTCCGCCTCGTAGTTGGAACTGCTCACATACGAGACGAAGTCTTCAAGCGAGCCCATTTGCAGGGTGCGGAGACAATGACGTGCAAACTCTTCGGGCAAGTTTGCATTCCGAAGATATTGCTTCAGTTCCGCTGCTTTCTTGGGCAAAGCCATGGCAGCGGCTACCTCGCTCGGGCCATAGCCATTGCTACTGCTTCCTGGAACCGAAAGGGGACAGGCTGTGAAAATTCATGAATAGGCCGACGTACCTAGACGAAGAACCAGCTAGACGCTTGCGTTCGATGCAGGCAACGAACTACACTCCAGCCCTGTATGGCTTGGTAACCTATCAGCCCAAGAGTTCTCCGACATGCCTGTTCATCAACTGGGTTGCGACGTAGTCCGATTTCTTCACGCATTCTTCCCGTGCAATCGTTCGTCCATGTTCGGCTCCGAATCTCGCCCCGAACTTGCATGGCGTCGCAACACTAGAGTCTGTGCGAATACCCCTGTCGGAGACCTCAATCTAAGAACAGGACCTCCTTGCCGTAGACCCATACTGAGCCACGGGTGTGTGACGGAACAGATTGTGGATGTTTCAACGCCTGCTAGCACCCGTCCATGTCCTAAAATCCAACACGAATCACTCCATGCATTCCACACCTCAAACACATATTCAAAGCAGTATGTTCAGAAACGTTACATGGCTTGGCATGCGAGCCTGCATGCCAAGTCAATGAACGGCAATTGGGCGCTCAGCTGTGACTGAATTTAGGGGCGGACGCCAATTCAAGATAGTTACTTTCCAGGCGGGCTGGATGGAGGGTCCAGCGGCAGCAAGAAGTCAAGATACGAAGGAATGCACAGGGCCCACAGACACTTTGCTGCAAGCACAGACCGCACTCCAGCAATCTGAGTTTGGATCTTTGATGTCGTGTAGCATGGGCTTGCGCTTAATGGCTGCGTGCTAGCTGCAGTCCCTGGTGCAACCCTCAATGCGCGGCCCCATGCACGAGGTGAGGTCTCACTCCTTGTGCCATTGCTGCGAGGTCTGGTTTCCACACCAGGTGCATGACGACGCTTCCTGATGGATTCTCTCTCTGTCTCTCGAGGAGGGTGCTGGAATTCGGTGTGGGCGATGCAAGTGCAGACCCTGCAGACCCAACAGGAGTTTCGTGCGAGTTCTTGCTTCTTGTTCACTACAGACTATAGACTACTATAGACTCTGCCACTGCGTCCTTCAAAGAATTGTGAGTCCATTTTGTTTGCCCGTGTGAGCAGTCTGCGTGGCACCTTGCTTTTCGGCACCAGCCGGTGCCGGCGCAAGTACACGCAAGCTACGACCAGCTAGCTACATGCCAGCTACCTTGATGGCAGCCTAGCTTGACTTGTAACTCTGCAACTGCGCTCAGCATCAGATGTTCCAAGCTCTAAGATGTAAGGCACTCCAAGAGCCGAAGCTGTCACTTGAAGCTGCAGTTGCCGAAGCAGGAGCTGTGCATCATCACGCTTCGATTCTGCATGGCTTGCTTGAGGCAGACCTTCTTTGATCCAGCCTTCTGCGAGCACGAAACAAACTAAGGAATACCGTTTCAGTTAGGAATGGCGTCGAAGGGCAGGTGGTACGTGTCACCAACCTTGAAGTGGCTCTCTTCCTTCCCTTGTCTTTCTTTTCTGTGGTGCCCGTCGGTTGTTTTTAGATTTTCCGACAGATCTCTGTCTCTCTTCGACGCTCACTCTCGGATTGCCTGGCTCCGTCTCTCCAACCGTTGGCCACCACCGTTTCTTCATGAAAACATGGACACAAAGCTGCAGCTGCCACTCCGCAAATCTCATCCAAGCTTAACCCACCCAACGATTGAACAATAGCTATGAGGCGCTGAAAGGCCTGAGAGTAGACAAGGAGAGACCGGCAGAGACTTGTACTAACGCAGGTCATGGGATCCAGGTTTGGGATTTGGACTCTCACACTTGGACAGCGCAAAGCGAAGTGCTTCGGTTCAGGTCTCACAGGGACATAACAGGCTTGGGATTCTAGGGGCTGTCCTGAAGTACTACCGTAACAAGTGTATCAAGCTCCTGACCTTTCGCGAAACATTCCTTGCCCTTGAACCCTTTGTATGTAGCACAGAAACGTGACCATCTGCTATGTAAATCAAGCTGATCGAAGCTCAACGCCTTTGTCTTTTTCACTCCAGTGGAACTTTCGGTGTTTTGAAATACACCTGTAATATGTAATATTCCAGCATGCGATAGACAAGTCATAAAGTAGTGATACTCCTGCCTGGAGTAGTCAGGAGAGGTAGGCACGGAGCAACCAACTGTTCTACCGGCACAGGATATCGCATGCTAAAATGTTCCAGGTTATTTCATGCAGACTCGCTACAGCAGTAAGCTGTACGAGGTCACTGGCTTTCGAGCACACGACACGGTGCAGTTGGACAAGAACACACTGTATGACAGCAAAGCTTCCAACAACACAGGAAGGATGTGCTTTGCTTCACTTTTGTGAAGACAGTCTGGCGCGTTAGATATCGAGGATGCGATGGGAGTCAGGTGGCCTTCCTCATGTGGGGTAAAGTTTTGAAACAAAAGGTAAGGACGCGATAAATAGAGAGACAGCCGCGAGACCCTATGGCCAAGCCGAAATGCGGTCCAACCGCACATCCCAAAACAGATTACGAAACGGGAGGTGAGTTACTTTCCGCCTTTTCCTTTCTTGAATTCTCAACCTTCTGTAGTTCTTTTCAGACAAAGCACCTGAAGTAACTCACCTTCCGTTTCGCAATCTGTTTTATGTATTCTTCACGCCTGTTGAAACCTGCTCTTGGGTCCCTTTGCGAACACAAATGACACAATGTAAGGTTCCTTCCTGCCCTCTGTTTACTATTTGCCGGGCTTGGCCCGCGCAGTTTCCACCTGACCGTGCCTCCGTGCAGTTCGTGGTCTGCCTCGTCGTTGCGTGCATTCTCGGGTCGGGGAGCAACCCCCCAGCTGCCACCGAAAGAACGGAACACGACCGCGAACTTGCCCTGGCAGGGAAGGACAAAGTTTCTCTCTAGAATCTGCCGAGCGGCTCCCACGACTTTGGTGGTGCCGTCATTTCTGAGATTTACCAGTGTCACTGACCTGGCATTCAACGCGCATGCTACAGGTTCCAGACCCATCAGTTCAATCCCACACAGCACGGGTCAGGCAAGGCATCTGCATGGTCTGAGGGAGCGCACCCGTGACCGATGCTGTACAAAGGCAACGCTGCCTTTGACTCTTCAGCCGACCTGGCTGGATGTGCTTACTTTTTATCGTTTAGTTGTACAAGCAGGAGCTCGGACGATTCCTGTAAACTCACCTTGCAACCGACATGCTTACCTGAACTTGGGGTGTGAGGCGAAAGCCTTTAATCATTGCCGCCCACGACACCACCGCCTCTCCCAAAGCTTCCAAATCAGCTTTCGGCGATGATTTTCAATGTTGTAATGCAGCGAAGCTACATCCTGCATTCTGCTACATGGCCTGTTTCGGAACCATTCCCTTGTCATTGGATTTTGCATGGACTCCTCCTGCACGTGCGCCAAGAACCCGACTCATTCGCACCCGTGTGCCGTATAACCTATCGAAGAGGAGGAGGAAGAGGAGGAGAGTGGCCCACAGACGTTACTGCGGCCGTCAACCCACTTCCCCCCAAGCATCTCCGAGCGGCTCCGTAATCGTCATAGCCGCTCTCCGCGAGGGGTTCGAGAGGGCGTGTATGTAATGCAGCCAAGTTTCACAGAAGAAGAGGAATGGTAGGGGATTGGAAAAGGAGCTGAAGCCTACAAAGAGGACGGAAGTAGACAGAAGAACAGAAAATCGCAAAAGCACAGACCCCAAACAATGCGAGGCCGGACGGTCTGGCAGTACAAGATAGCCAAGGACAGAGAATGGGAGGCAAGGATTCAACGGAACTTGCGTAAAATGGCGCCGACCCAGAGCCCCAATCTCGAGATTGGGATAACAGCAGCAAACCTACAAACTGCGGAACATGTGAAAGGTGACAACCACACAGATCTCGCGCCATGGAAACAAACCAAAGATGGTGCGAGAAGGTGGTCTGAAATATAACGAAAAGAAACCGACCACAGAGAAAGGGGTGAAAGGCACGCGAAGCTAGACTCCATCAACCCAAGACGGCAAAAACTACGAAAGCCCTAAAAACAACATAGGATGCTGCGCGAAAAGCCGGTTTAACTTGCTGGACCTCCGGGAGGTGTGGAAGACGGCAACAAGCCAGACCTCCAATCTCGGAGCGAGACGGGGGGTCTGGGACTGCAGGCGAAAACCCTGCACGAGGCTTGGAAGCGAAAGACCTGTGGGAGGTGCAGATATCGACAACAACCCAAACCCCCAATCTGGAGACGGGGGTCTGGGATTGTGGCCAGAACCCTGCACAAGCATCGTAGGCGAAAGACCGACGGAGGTGCGGAAGATGGCCGCAAGCCAGACCCCTAATCTCGGAGCGAGACGGGGGGGTGTGGGATTGCCGCAAAAACCCTGCACGGGCATGGGAGGCCAAAGACCCGCGGGAGAGGCGGAAGATCGCAACAAGCCAGACCCCCAATCTCGGAGCGAGACGGGGGTCTGGGATTGCAGGCGAAAACCCTGCACGAGGCTGAGGTGCAGATACCGACAACAACCCAAACCCCCAATCTGGAGACGGGGGTCTGGGATTGTGGCCAGAAACCCTGCACAAGCATCGTAGGCGAAAGAGTCGGAGGTGCGGAAGATGGCCGCAAGCCAGACCCCTAATCTCGGAGCGAGACGGGGGTGTGGGATTGCCGCAAAAACCCTGCACGGGCATGGGAGGCCAAAGACCCGCGGGAGAGGCGGAAGATCGCAACAAGCCAGACCCCCCATCTCGGAGCGAGACGGGGGGTCTGGGATTGCAGCACAAAAACCCTGCACGAGGCATGGATTGCGAAAGACCTGCTGTGGGTGCGGACATGACAGGGCAACCTGGACCTCCAATCTCGGATCGAGACGGGGGGTCGGCACGGCACGGAAGATGGCAACAAGCCAGAAACCCAATCTCGCAGCGAGACGGGGGTCTGGGATAGCAGGGCGAAAACCATGGACGAGGCACGGAAAGCGAAAGACCTACGCGGGGTGCGGACCTGACAGTTACCCAGACCTCCAATCTCGGAGCGAGACGGGGGGTCTGGGATTGTCGCAAGAACTCGGCACGGGCATGGAAAGCGAGGGAATTACGGGAGGGGCGGCAGATGCCAACAAGCCAAACCCCCAATCTCGGAGCGAGACGGGGGGTCTGGGATTGCAGCACGAAAACCCTGCACGAGGCATGGAAGGCGAAAGACCGAAGAAGGCAACAAGCCAGACCCCCAATCTCGGAGCGAGACGGGGGGTCTGGGATTGCAGCACGAAAACCCTGCACGAGGCATGGAAGGCGAACGACCACGCGTGCAAGAAGGCAACAAGCCAGACCACCAATCTCGGAGCGAGACTGGGGTCTGGGATTGCAGCACGAAAACCCTGCACAGGCATGGAAGGCGAAAGACCTATGGGAGGCGTGGAAGAAGGCAACAAGCCAGACCCCCAATCTCGGAGCGAGACGGGGCCTACGGGACGCGTGGGAGAAGGCAACAAGCCAGACCCCCAATCTCGGAACGAGACGGAACATCTGGGATTGCAGCACGAAAACCCTGCACGAGGCATGGAAGGCGAAAGACCTACGGGAGGCGTTGAAGAAGGCAACAAGCCAGACCCCCAATCTCGGAGCGAGACGGAGGGTCTGGGATTGCAGCACGAAAAACCCTGCACGAGGCATGGAATGCGAAAGACCTACGGGAGGCGTGGAAGATGGCAACAAGCCAGACCCCCGATCTCGGAGCGAGATGGGGGGTCTGGGGTTCCAGCACGAAAAACTCTGCACGAGGCATGGAAAGCGAAAGACCTTCGGGAGGCGTGGAAGAAGGCAACAAGCCAGACGCCCAATCTCGGAACGAGACGGGGGGTCTGGGATTGCAGCACGAAAACCCTGCACGAGACATGGAAGGCGAAAGACCTACGGGAGGCGTGGAAGATGGCAACAAGCCAGACCCCCAATCTCGGAACGAGACGGGCGGGTCTGGGATTGCAGCACGAAAACCCTGCACGAGGCATGGAAGGCGAAAGACCTTCGGGAGGCGTGGAAGAAGGCAACAAGCCAGACCCCCAATCTCGGAACGAGACGGGGGTCTGGGATTGCAGCACGAAAACCCTGCACGAGGCATGGAAGGCGAAAGACCTACGGGAGGCGTGGAAGAAGGCAACAAGCCAGACCCCCAATCTCGGAACGAGACGGGGGTCTGGGATTGCAGCACGAAAACCCTGCACGAGGCAGAAGGCAACAAGCCAGACCCCCAATCTCGGAACGAGACCGGGGGGTCTGGGATTGCAGCACGAAAACCCTGCACGCGGCATGGAAGGCGAAAGACCACGGGTGCAAGAAGGCAACAAGCCAGACCATCAATCTCGGAGCGAGACAGGGGTCTGGGATTGCAGCACGAAAACCCTGCAGGAGGCATGGAAGGCGAAAGACCTACATACGGGAAGCGCGTAAGAAGGCAACAAGCCAGACCCCCAATCTCGGAGCGAGATGGGGGTCTGGGATTGCAGCACGAAAACCCTGCACGAGGCAGAAGGCAACAAGCCAGACCCCCAATCTCGGAACGTGACCGGGGGTCTGGGATTGCAGCACGAAAACCCTGCACGAGGCATGGAAGGCGAAAGACCTTCGGGAGGCGTGGAAGAAGGCAACAAGCCAGACCCCCAATCTCGGAACGAGACGGGGGTCTGGGATTGCAGCACGAAAACCCTGCACGAGGCATGGAAGGCGAAAGACCTACGGGAGGCGTGGAAGAAGGCAACAAGCCAGACCCCCAATGTCGGAACGAGACGGGGGTCTGGGATTGCAGCACGAAAACCCTACACGAGGCAGAAGGCAACAAGCCAGACCCCCAATCTCGGAACGAGACGCGGGGTCTGGGATTGCAGCACGAAAACCCTGCACGCGGCATGGAAGGCGAAAGACCACGGGTGCAAGAAGGCAACAAGCCAGACCATCAATCTCGGAGCGAGACAGGGGTCTGGGATTGCAGCACGAAAACCCTGCAGGAGGCATGGAAGGCGAAAGACCTACGTACGGGAAGTGCGGAAGAAGGCAACAAGCCAGACACCCAATCTCGGAGCGAGATGGGGGGTCTGGGATTGCAGCACGAAAACCCTGCACGAGGCATGGAAGGCGAAAGACCTACGGGAGGCGTGGAAGAAGGCAACAAGCCAGACCCCCAATCTCGGAACGAGATGGGGGGTCTGGGATTGCAGCACGAAAACGCTGCACGAGGCATGGAAGGCGAAAGACCTACGGGACGGATGGAAGCGCCTTTGGGAGGAGAAAAAAAGAAAAGAGTACGCCAGGCACTGTCGCCCTGACGGGAGGAATGCGGGCGAGGAGGGGGGTGCTCATCGGCGGAAGAAGCCGCCTTAGTGCCGCCCCTGGTGTCCCCCCACCTCGGCAAGACCCCGTAAGACCTCTCACAACCCGTCAGAACCGGGGGATAACCTATCGAAGAAAGTGCTGCTCCAACGGTTCGTTCATTTAGCTAGCATTGATGCTTTGCGAGATTTGTTCCATAGTGGGGAGGACCAATCGAACAACAGCGAGCTATTCCCTGCTGCCTTGAGGATTCACCCAGGCCCTCGAGTGCCGACAGCCCGCCACATTCAGAAGCCTAGCGGCATCCCGAGGGATCGCAGCAGCATGTAAAGCAGCAGGGTGTCCTCGCAGTCTGTTCATGAGCAAGGAGCACTTCTGGGCCAAACCATTGCGAACCGAACAGCGTACGAAGTGCTTTTGATTTCGTCCTCGGCGACAATGATGACAGTGTCGCGGGATCCTCGCATTCTGATAGTGTTGCTCCGTGACAGCAAGGTGCTTATGTCCGTAGCAACTCAAAGTACTAGTATCTCAAAGTTTTCCGTCACAGGTATGAAACCTGGACTTCCTTTACGGGAGCTTCGGCATCACTCCGGTCGGCGACCGTATCTACAAAGTGGCTCAAGAAAAGCCATATCAGCAACGTAAGCATCACAGCCCCAAGACTGGCCATCCCGTGTTACTCTTTGTGCCCTCTCGCTGCACCTACAACCGCGGCTCTTCATCAGACCGTAAGCCATGGACCTTCTTCGGGCGCCTGGAAAAATTGCAGAAAGCCCGCCTGAGTAATAACACAGTGCAGGAAACCAGGCTTCTCACAGGCATCAGTGCAGAAGCACTAGAAGAGCCTCCGGATGCTCCAGGATGCTATCCGGAAAGAGTTGTGGCACCTTCCATCACTGCCAACATGTTTCGCAAGCCACTGCTGTTCCGTGGCATGCCAATGAATCCAAGCTGCGGCTTTGAACTTGCCAGCCAGTGCCGCAGCTGTCGATTGGGCGCTGCTTGTAGAAGCAACCTCGCATGAGCCATTTGCGTTCAAGGTGCAGCCGGCTGCACGGCATGTGGCAGTCTGCATCCTTGAGCCTCAGACAACTGCCTTTCCGGACCTACGGCAGGTTCTCCGCTAAGTGCTGTGACACCCCAACAACTTCAAGAGAAGCTGAGACTGCAGCATCATATACCCGCTCAGGCTTTTAACGTGATCTGCAACAGATTGTATCTGTTGACTTATCCCGGCGCCGGAGCCTGACAACAATTCGACAGCTGGCATGAGAAAGTAAATTAAGAGCGATGCGGCTTGTTGTAAAGAGGAAACTCCGGACGAGGGTACGCATCACTGAGCTCTCGCTCAGGATACCGCAGCGGCAAGGCATGCAGAACCGGCTCACAGCCTAAAATCAAACTGCCAAGGCCTTGGCCGCCTGCTTGTCTCACCTCAGTCTTTGCCAAGGACCCGCCGGCTGTGCATGTCTGATGTGTCATATTCTTTTGTACTGTAACAGTCACGCGCAAATTAGGGGCTTGCTTGGTCGACTGGGTATGCTGGGATCCGTGACTAAGACCAGCATGCGGCCGCCAAACTTGTGCCGCTCTGGGCCTGTGAAGGGTACGGAACATGCTGCAATCGTTGCTTCTTCGCTGACTCTGCTTCGGGAGCCTCCTCCTTTCCACGCAGACATGTCAGCACCTGTGCCACAGCTAACAGTGATTGGCAAGCACTTGCCAAAAAAGCATGCAACAGTTCCAACATATTTCCATAAGCAACATCGACAGCTAAGGCAACAGCCTGTGACGTTCTTCCACGTGATTGCCTGCACACACCACTGCCACATCACGATATTCAATCTGCAAACTCAGAAAGGATGCCCGTTCTAGTCTAAAGCTCACAGCAAAAGTTATATGGACTCGGAGCCCAATGCGGCCAGATCACATCGTCCATGCTACAGGGCATCTCGGGAAATTGGATTTCAGCTACACCAACCGCGAGTACACTTGCCTAGCCAAGGCCTGTTTATCCAAATAAGGCTAGGCTACGCCGGAATTGTGCCTAAACATCTCATGTAACAACATCTCAGCATCTTAGCAGTCTAAATCAATCGTAGCGAGGCAGCAGCAGCGGCAGCGCCGGGGTCCATGGAAAATGTGGATAGAAAGGTATAAGATCCCATGCCAGGAATACCTCAAAAGATAGCACCCGACTCTGACATATGCTCATGCTCGTGACTGTACTGTGCCCTTGACGTGCCTTGCGTACTACCCCTGCTGGGATGCAGGCAACTCTTCCTATGCGTGCTCTACACAAGCCCAAGGCCTGCTACAATGCCGAGAGCGCACAGGAACCATGATTCCGCAACCCCCAAGGTGCTCCTCCGAAAATAGACGAACCTCCATGCTACAGTTCAACTAGGTTTCCTTCCATGCGTCGCTTGCAACACGTGACATCCGCTTTTCAACCCTCCTGCTGCGCGGAGCGAGCCACATTCCACTCTGAGGAACCCACAGTGTCTGCAATGTGTGCGGACGCTCCAATAGAGACCACCTGTCAGTATAGGGGGAGAGGTGACGTGGATTTCACTTTGACGCCGCCCACTCTTGCACAAGCATTGGCGCCGGGATGCTCCAACTTGACAGCAAGTCGGACGAAAGCTAGGGGAGGCAGCTGTACATTGCAATGCCGAGCGGATGTTGGTAACCGAATTTGAATGATGTGGTGCTCCTGCTGTGTTGCGAACTGGTTCATAAAACCTGCGCAAAACGACGCACGGCAAAGCTCGCTTCCCGATGCAAGAAACAAAAACAGCTCTGAAATGTTTGTTAAGTCTCTCGTGTCTATCTTCCTCTTGTGCCTTCTTTCGTTCTTTTTGCCGTTCTTCTTTCAAGTCAATAGTTCACTATGCACATTTATCTCTCCTCCTTTCCGTGTTTCTTTCGGGCTTTTTTCCAACCCTCTCCGACGCCCGCACTCGGGCACTAGCGAACATCCCGAACAGCACACACTGATGGAAACGCCTCTTGGAGACAGGCTCTTTCGGGTCTCAATCGTTCTGTCTTTCTTGTGCGCCGTCCCCCCTTTGCAAAGAAAACAGGGGACCCTTCACCCTCCTACAAACTCGTGGATGTGTGCTTGTCATCAACATTCAGCAACTACTCGGAAAAGATGCCTGTAGACGCGAAACAGTCTTAGGCAATGCTGCTGTCTTCAGTTGTGCAGATGTATGCCGTACGCTGCCGCTATGTGGCTCTGCTGTCTGTAGTACCGACCCGTTGAGGCGGCATAGGTCTCATGAGCAGCACACAGCGCCACACAACCCTGGGCATGCGTGCAGCGCTAGCTAGATTGGAAATTGAATTCCAGCCTTCTTCGTACCGAGGGAGCTGACATCCACACGAGTAATCGAAGCATGGCGGAGATGGAAAAGAGTCCAAGCCTCCAGGTGCTCTCTTCAATGAATGCTGTCCGAAACCGGGATGCACTGCCCTACACTTTCGATGCCTGAGCAGCTCGTTCGATTGGCACACCTGCCGCACCTCACCAGCGACGCGCCGGAACAGGTGGTGGCTGCCAGCTTTCCAAGTTTGTCCGAGAGCAGCACGCATAAGCATATACCTTGCGTCTGCAAGTGGGCTGACCCAAGCCAAGCAGGTGGGGATGTCCGAAAGCCAAGCTGCAGGATGATGTTGTTGTGGGCAACTATAACGAGAGTGTCAGAATCACTAGCCTGGCAATGGCCAGATTTCAAGGACCGCCATGACGAATGCGCACTTTTGAAGAACATGATCCCACGGAGGGGGCCTCTGGTGTAACAAACAAGCGGTTGAACACATCTTCGGCGCGGAAAGGCTTGTTGGTTGGATCCTAGGTACAGCAGCCAGAATCACCCTGCAGCATCGAAGCTCCAAAGAATTCACATCTCCGGATTTTCCCCAGGCTCTGCAGCCAGCGTGTGTGTGCGCTGGCGGATGACCCAAACTATCCGCCCTGAAGGATGCTCTCGTGAGGCTCTTGGGGCCGATGCAGTCTCACGCAGCAGGTCGGCGTTCCTGGGCCAGTGCACACATGTGCACACAAACTCTGCTGTCTTTGCGTCGCCCGTCTATAGACTTTAGACCCGGAAGTGCTTTGTGGTGTTTGCTGTCGGTCATGGCACGGAAGCTCAACAAGAACCGCAGATAAGCGCGGCCAAGACTCCACACCTCCAGGTCCTGGACGTGAACGGGCAGCTTGGCTGCAGTTTCACGCGCTCGCCTGTCTCCACGTCCGCCAACACTGCCGCCGAACAGCCGGTCACCAAGCAGCACAAGCGACCTGGCCTGCTGGTGCTGTGTAGCAATGCTCGCTTAGAGGGCAACTTTCCTGCAGCAAACAACCTGAGCGGAAATCTGACCAGTGTGCACGGCTGGAATTTCGAAACGCAGTGTCGCAGGCCCTGAGCACAAAACTGGCTGATGAAACGCGCTGTGTCCTCGTCAAGGTGGCATCATTACGCACTGCACTAAACTGCGCAACATGCACATGCGTCGCTTCTCCAGCTGTCCTCAGCCTGCTTGTGGCCATGTTGGGTGAGCTCCTTCAGCTCATCTCGTTCGCCTTCATGGCAGCATTGGCCATGACGTAGCATCAGGATCACCCGCCGACCTTGTCAGGGTGCAAGGTAGAAGACCAAACAGAATCAGCCTATCAACACCTGCATGCATCAACGCCGGAAAAGATGCGGCTTGTTGGTCAGGAGCGGCTTGGAGCATGCTATCAAACTTACTTGTTCGTGTAGTGAAGGGAAAGGTGGTGCTGGTGCTGACAGTGGCGGTGGTGGCGGTGGCAAATGTAGCCAGGAAGATTGAACAGCTTGAAAAATTCACAGTTGTCCTTCGGACCAAATCACTCAGTGAAACCGTACTGCGGCCTGCTGATTAAAGCCTTCTGTAGAAACAAAGTTACACTAGAAGACAATTGGCCCGAAAGCATCATTAGCGAAGAGTTTAGCGCTACGTTATAGAATCCACTGCATAGAACTATTTTTCCCACCCGCCCAGCTGACAAAGTCGCACCGCAGGGAGCTCGTTCGGAAACCTAAAGAGACTGCGTAGTGTCCAGTCTCTTTAGGTTTCCATAGAACTATAGAGTCATAGTGCGAAGTGCATCTAATTACGAAGTATATGGCAATGCCGAGATCGACATTTTTGAATCTATGAACTTGACTCTACGTGTTTCACTCTGCGTTCCTCAGTCGATGTTGTCAAAGCTGTCGAAGCAGTGTATAAACTTAGGTATATGAAGTCAACTGCATACGGCGAAGTGCATAGAATCAAGTGCATAATAAGCCAGGTGAATAAGTATCTAGAGTCATGGTGTCAAGTTGTTTCCGTGCAGCCAGGTCCGGTGGTCGGTGATCGTATTATAGTGCTGCGGTATCCTTGGTTGGAACTGATCCAGCAGGGAAGACGGTAGAGATTCGATCGAGGCAGGTAAAGAACAGTCCTCAGTATGGTAAGATGCTGCAACATGTTCATCCCTTCGAGCAAAGCATGCGGGTCATACATGTGCAATGAGAAAGCCTCTGCAATCGACGTAGAGATTCCGAGCCTGAATAAGTCATCGAGCAGGCACCGGCGACGCCTCATTGCAATACAAACTGACTCACGCAGGCAGTGACCAACGGCGGCGATTCCCCATGAAGCGTCCTGCTCGGCAATGCGCCGCAATAGAGCTTCCAACAACTCCGCTTTGGAAAATTTGCGCCCGGCTGACTTCTGCTGCGCATCCGCCAGCGACGAGCCCACACAACTGATCGCGAGTCCGCTTCCCGAGCTCGTCGCGGAGCCAGGCTTCGCCGTGCTCGGCACAGCCCTCTCGCAGCTCCTGCAGCTTTTGCTCCGACGCAGCAACAGCATCGACCTGACAGCAAAAACTTCACGTGAAAGCACGAAACATCTAACCTGGCCACGACACTGACGCCTCACTGCAAGACAAATTGACACAGACGATTCAATGATCAACGACATCGATTCCCGATGAAGCCTCCTCCTCGACAATGCACTGTGATAGAGCTTATACCAATTCCAGCTTGGATAGAGTGCGCCAGGACGAGCATTGCGGCACACCCGCAGCGGCAGCAAGCCCACACAACTGCATGGTAGTTGGTCCCCGAGGCTCCGCACGGAGCCAGGTTTCACCGTGCTCGCCAAAGCCCTCTCGCAGGCCATTCAGCTGCTATGGCAGCAACACCATGTGTCCACCCCGGCCCTTTCGCAAGACAGCGTCTAGTCAGGCAAAGAACCGTCCTAAGTATGGTGAGATGCTGCAACGTAGAGCAGAGCGAGGCAGGTAAAGAACAGTCCTCAGTATGGTAAGATGCTGCAACATGTTCATCCCTTCGAGCAAAGCATGCGGGTCATACATGTGCAATGAGAAAGCCTCTATAATCGACGTAGAGATTCCGAGCCTGAATAAGTAAGTCATCGAGCAGGCACCGGCGACGCCTCATTGCAATGCAAACTGACTCACGCAGGCAGTGATCAACGACAGCGATTCCCCTTGAAGCGTCCTGCTCGGCAATGCGCCGCGATATTCTGCGGCGCATCCGCAGCGACAGCGAGCCCACGCAACTGATCGCGAGTCCACTTCCCGAGCTCGTCGCGGAGCCAGGCTTCGCCGTGCTCGGCACAGCCCTCTCGCAGCTCCTGCGGCTTTTGCTCCGACGCAGCAACAGCATCGACCTGACAGCAAAAACTTCACGTGAAAGCACGAAACATCTAACCTGGCCACGACACTGACGCCTCACTGCAAGACAAATTGACACAGACGATTCAATGATCAACGACATCGATTCCCCATGAAGCCTCCTCCTCGACAATGCACTGTGATAGAGCTTATACCAATTCCAGCTTGGACAGAGTGCGCCAGGACGAGCGCTGCGGCACGACCACACAACTAATCGTGAGTCCGCTTCCCGAGCTCGTCGCAGAGCCAGGCTTCGCCGTGCTCGGCACAGCCCTTTCGCAGCTCCTGCAGCTTTTGCTCCGACGCAGCAACAGCATCGACCTGACAGCAATAACTTCACGTGAAAGCACGAAACATCTAACCTGGCCACGATACTGACGCTTCACGGTATTACAAATTGACACAGACAATGATCAACGACATCGATTCCCCATGAAGCCTCCTCCTCGACGTTGCACTATGATAGAGCTTATACCAATTCCAGCTTGGACAGAGTGCGCTAGGACGAGCGCTGCGGCACGCCTGCAGCGGCAGCAAGCCCACACAACTGCATGGTAGTTGGTCCCCGAGGCTCCGCACGGAGCCAGGTTTCACCGTGCTCGCCAAAGCCCTCTCGCAGGCCATTCAGCTGCTGTGGCGGCAACGCCATGGTACTATGTACTCCTACTACTACTACTATTATTATAACTACCATCTAGTAATACTACTATTACTACTATTAGTACTATTACTACTATTACTACTATTACCACTATTACTACTATTACTACTATTACTACATGCGCAGCAAAAGTGTTAACTTTACCTCGCGTTCGAACACTCGACAACGCCAATCTCTGTGAAGGGTTGCAAAATTCACCTCAATGCACATCAAAAGTAATAACTTTACCTTGCGTTCGTGCGTTCGACCACGCCAATCCCTGTGAAGGGTTGCAAAATGCATCTCAATGCACATCAAAAGTAGCAACTTTACCTAGCGTTTGTGCATTCGACCATGCCAATCCCTGTGAAGGGTTGCAAAATGCACCTCAGTGCACCTAAAAGCGCTTCAAAGTAGCAACTTTACCTCGCGTTCACGCACTCGATCATGCCAATCCCTGTGAATGGTTGCAAGTTCGTGCACCCGACAACGCCAATCCCTGTGAAAGGTTGCAAATTGCGCCTCGAAGCGCATCAAAAGTAGTAACTTTACCTCGCGTTTGGGCGCTCGACGAGGCCAATCCCTGTGAAGGGTTGCGCCGCGCGCCTGTTAAGTTAAAAAAATGTGGCACTTTACCTAGCGTTTGGGCGCTCGACCATGCCAATCCCTGAGAAGGGTTGCGCGGCGCCCGCAAAATGTGTCACTTTACCTAGCGTTTGGGCGCTCGACCAAGCCAATCCCTGTGAAGGGTTGCGCGGCACCCGTGCAATGTGTAACTTTACCTAGCGTTTCAACGCTCGACCAGGCCAATCCCTGGGAAAGGTTGCGCGGGAACCGCAAAATGTGGAACTTTACCTAGCGTTTGGGCGCTCGAGGTGGCCAATCCCTGTGAAGGGTTGCGCCGCGACGGGGTTGCGCCGCGCGCCGAAAATGTGCAACTTTACCTAGCGTTTGAGCGCTCGAGGTGGCCAATCCCTGTGAAGGGTTGCATTCCCGATGGATGACGACGGTGCCACCCCTGGCTTTAGAAGAGAGATTAGATACCGAGATGTAGAGAGTAAGTCATGTAGAGAGGTAGAGAGTAAGTCAGAGAATAAGTCACAGAGTAAGTCAAGAGTAAGTCACAGAGTAAGTCAGAGAGTAAGTCACAGAGTCATAGAGTAGTCAAGTGAGTAAGTCAGAGAGTTCTCAAGTTCATAGAGTCATAGAGTCATAGAGTAGTCAAGAGTAGTCAAGTTCGGTCTTAGAGTCAGAGAGTCATAGAGTCATAGGGTCATAGAGTCGTAGACCCAAGTGTCAAGTCATAAGGTCATGTGCTCGATTCTATGTTTGTCATCTATGCGCTTGTCTACCCGGCTCCGCACGGAAGAACCCTTCGCGATGCTTTCGGGAATACCGCAGTTGCGCATAACCGTCATAATGTCATATTCAACCAGTATTCTTCAGGCCTGGCTTCGCACTTTCGGTGCTCGGTGCCTTGGAATCAATCCGGGTGCACCGAGAGGTTCGAGTCACTCTGGCCATGCACCACACGGAGGTTGTCCCAATCTTGCATCCCTCACGGCTGAGCTGAACACCGCTTTGGTCGACTCCGCTGCGGTCGTTGCGCTTGCTGCAGCGGCAGCAGGGGCAGCCCCTGACAACAAGTGAACGTGAGTAGGGATTGTGGCTATGAGCAACCTTGCGACAACAAACTGAGTGGAATGCCGAGAACGTCGAAACAAACATTGGATGTTGCGGTGTTGACTGTTCATTGCAGGCGATTGCATACAGGACAATGCAGCCTGTCGAGCTCGCCGGTTTGCGCACTATGTACACCACAGGTAGCTTCTCCTCTCCGCCTCGCGAAAGCTGAGCCAAGTCGGTGTGGCTACTACAGCTCGGTGACCAGACGGCCCTCCGTCTGGCCTCCACCTAGATCGCTGAGTGTCGTGGCAGCCTGCGCAAGCTTGTGATTAGCATATCGTCGAAGAAAAACAACTCAAGGGTCCTTCAATGGCTTGCCCCGGCTGACGATGGTAATGAGCTGGCTTTCGCAGCCCTCCCTTTCTGCCTGGGGCACAAACTGCTATCAAAGTATCTTCTTCTGCTTTGATTGATGCGCGCTACATTGACACAACCGTCGCTGGATCAGCAGCCGGTGTCCCAACAAATCAGCCTTGCAATATCCCGGCTTAGGCAAGTGCCAGCTGGACCGCTAGCTCGTTGACAGTTGCCGAAGTTGGGAGTGTCAAGTCGAAAGAAGCTGCCGCGTCGCCCGCCACAGCCTTCTGTACAGCACTCGCAAACCGTTCGATTTCTGGTCCTGGGTCTGAACTTAAACTGCCTGCACCCGTCTTGAAACTTGCGAAGCCTTCTTGACGTGCAAGGTAACAGACTGCGCTCCTGGCCAGTTGCGGTGCAGGAATGAAGTCCGTCATGCAATGGAGCTCGCACTCGTGCCCCTCCAGTGGGTTGGTAGTCGTCAAGAGGCCCCAGCGAGCAAACACTCCACCGTCCCGACACATGAATGCAGGAGCAAACACTGTTGAAGGAGCATTCCTCGGAAGTTCAGCTTGCAGAGTGGAAGCTCAAACAAACGCTCGCCTTTTTCGACTCGGCTTCCCTTGAGGACAGCTGACTTACATTTACTTGCCTGCGCCAATCAACATTTCGAATGTGCACACTTGCCCGCATTTGCCAGCGACCATGATCATTAGGCCACTGAGTAAACAACCTATTCTGCCGCCACCTAGTCTGCCGATGCTGCTCGTGTTACGGTGGTGGGGATCTATCCAGACTGAGTTCAACGTCAAAGGCTTGGCTTGCTTTGCATGATATTCGGTCCGTTCCGACCTGTCAGATGAGTGTCTCTACATGTCTCCACACTTCATGGTGTTATGATTTCTTTTTTCCTACTCCGCGTGCCCAGCTCGTCGCGACCCCACAGTACCTGCTAAAGCAAGGCTACACTCAAGCCCCTTTTTAGCTGTTTTCGTGACAAAATCAAAGCAAGCCCAACAAGTTTCACACAGGCATCCTGTCAACTTCTTTAAGCCGTTTAAGCCCCCTCAAGTGCCGGCTGGGAGTCTGGGAGAAACAGCGAGAGAGTATATCCAAATCAATGTTGCCGTGTCAAGCCAACTGGCGTTCGTCTGGCTACGAAACTGGCTGAGGCAATGGCACACAATCTGTCGGCATCTTGCAGGCTTGAAAACACCGTTGTGAGACGGAGACGGTGGAGGACCGGGGACATCGTATCAGCACTTTGTCCAAATTGCCATGCTCGCCAAATGGCGACCACTGCTGCTGCCAATGCCATTGCTACTGCTGCTCACTGCTCACTTCTACTCCTGCTACTGCTGATGCTAGTGCAGAAGAACGACGACGACTCTCTTGCTTGCATACGGACAAGGAGGCAAGCCCCCCGCGCGCAGGCCCGCACCGAGCTGGTGTTCGTCTTTGCCCTCTACCTGATAAGGCGCGGCGGCTCTCGCAAACCCCCTAATGCCCTGTACACTACTTATTGGACCCCTGCGCCTCATCTGCTTTCCCTCCTTTGAGGGCTTGGGCTGTTCCCCCATTTTGGAGGTTGTCGTCTTGCTTGCTTGCTTGCTAAGCGGTCTAGGTTGTCGTCTCTTTTTTCTTTCGCCAGGGCTATGGTGCAGGGGGGTAAGTCGTCTCTCTCTCTCTCTCTCTCTCTTTCTTTCTTTCTGCTGGGCTTAGGGGTCCCGCGAGACCCTCAGGCCTTAGGCCCGCCCAACCCCCCCACTGTGTTAGTGAGTGGTTGGCATTGGGGTCGTTCCAGAGCGCGGCATAGAACTACCGAATATGCCCCGGGATTACAAGTAGAAAGCCCCCCCGAACGCTAAACGCGAAAACAACCCCCGCCTCGTCTCCGCGCCCCTATAGCAACTATCCTTAGCCCTTAGTAGGTTCGAGGGGGCACGAAACAAGCCGGTTTAATTATCCCCCCTTGTTCTCACGCAACAAGGAGAAGATGCGAATTACATGTGGAAGGCGGGTCGGACATCGTCGCAATGACGGGAGTGCAGTGAATTGTAAAAGGCGGAAAGGGGCGGCCAATCGGGCCAGCTTTTGGCAAAAGTGGGACCTATAGTACAGAAAGTCGTGCTAGGATGCATCCCCGGGCTGGGTTATATGGAAAAAGGAGAAATTCCCCACCTAGTGAGGCAGGGTGCAAGCTCGAAACTCAGGTGCAGAAGAGGGTAGGGGTGTCACAACAGCAACCAAGCAAAGCAACAGAAAACCTAGGCAAAGCAACACTACAAAACCGGAACCCCCTCCCCAATCCCCCCCTCTGGCCGTCACTCGAAAAAATTTTTGCCGCGCTCACTCCGTCTCACTGCAGGACTTTCCTGTGCCCCCTCGACCTAGTCGGCGTCCTCTCCACTGTGTTGGCTGGCTCCACGCTGTCTGGCCATGTGTGCTTGGACTTGCTGAACCTGCGAGCGTAGGTTGGGTACCAAGGCCGCTCGGTTGCTGCTGCTTGGGGCCTGACTTGGCTCCCCCACTTTGTCGGGCCAGTTGCACCGACGTTTTGCCTTGGGTGTGGGTTCGCTCGGCCTTCGCTGTCCTGGCTCAGAGTCAGACGGTCTGCCAGCTGGGCCCCATGGCCACATTGACTCGACATGGTCTCGGTAGTAGTCGCTGTTGTTCTCGTCCTGCTCCCCCCGGCCTGCTTGGTGGCGGTCGTCGTCTGTTCGGCCCGGTTGGGCTCCCCCTTCTTCGTCTTCGTCTTGGCTGTCCGGACTCCCCCAGTCCGGTGGGGTTGCTGAGGCACTGTACTCCTTTCTCACATTTGCAGCAGCCACCCCCTGTGAGCTGCTGGCTGGCTCCCCTCGCTCTGCTGGTGGTGGTGGCGTGTCTTCCTCGTCGGTCGTGTCGTCCGTTGGCTGTTGCGTCTCCCCCTTCTTGGTCTGCTGCTTCTTCTCCCCCTTCTTGGTCGTCTGTTTCTGCTCTGCTCGTCGTCTGCGAAGTTTGCGACGCATCCCCCAAGCCTTGCGCAGCATGACAGGGATTTTCTCTGGGAACTTCATTGCGCACAATCTTCGGAAGCCATTTGTCAACGATACGCACTAGGCGATCGGCCTGTTCTCCAAGGCGCAACCTGTGGGAAAACCTGGCCATGTACTTCTCGTATTCCCCCGCGGCTTCGGATCCGAGGGCCTCCCCCGACGGCATAAGCAGGTACCGCCCCTCGTCGTCCACCTTGACTTCTTTTGCAGCCCATCGGTCCAGCGCGTCCGGCTCGAAGAGTAGGTGTAATCCCCCCTGTGTGCGGAAAGCCGTCTTGCTACACAGGGGGGTGGGTGCTTGCATCCCCTCCACGTTTGGTGGCGGTCTCGCTGGTTCATAGGCCTCTCTCTCTCTCTCTCTGCCGTTGCATCCAGAACGACGACGACTACTAGAGGTAATTCCACACGAGGAGTGTCCAGGACATTCCTGGAATACGGGAGGGCTACGGGGGAATTCCATCGAGGCGCGTCCAGGCATGTCGTGGCAGGGTAAGGGTGGATGCATTCCCAGCTGGTAGCTCCTAGCAGGTCCTAGGTCCTAGCAGGTTAGAAAGACATGCTCCTTGACTGGACGAGGTCCTCCAACATCCAAGGAATCAAGGACAAGCATAAGGCAACCGCTGGCCCTGCCTGCATGCCCTAAAGCTGAGTCTGAGTTCGTTGGGGCAGTGACACAAGCTACCCAAGGGCTTTGATTGTAGGTCTCGGGAGACTGACTTGTCTCAAAACTCTGAGCTTGCAGCCAAACAAAATCAGACTCACTTTCTTCGATTCTGCTACGTGGCTGCACTACATGTAAGGTGCAGTTCACACCCATTGAAAACGCTGCACATACTGCAATTCACTTCAAGATCTCCGAAGCTCAGGCCCCGAAGGTCATGCCAGAAGCTCTTCTGTACATTCTGCGATAGTCCAGCGGGAAGAGAGCCTTCATGAATTCTCTTTCGTCGATACCTCCGGAACCATCTGTGTCGAAGGCCACGAAAAGGTCCGATGCCTGCGCAGACGGTGGGAGAGTTCATGATATGACAGTGCAGGAAGCAACCATGAGATCCTCCGCAACACGACAGCGACTTAGGCAGCAACCTCTGAAGGCTTCATTCCAACCTTCATTCTCGCAATCAAATCCTTGGAAGGCTCCAACTACACCGATACGCTGCGCGCGAGAAGTTGCTTAGTTGCTTAGCGCATTTTGCCTGCAAGAGTCGCAAAATTCATCCATACCAAGTTCTCCATTACCATCTTGGTCAAATTTTCGGAAAAGCCTCGGCATGTCACCTGGGCTTGGAAGAGAAATCTCCAACATGTGGAAACCGCAAGCCGCGAAAGCGGGCTGCGTGTGACAGACGGGTTTGCTCGTAGCTCGTCCAACTCCAAGCACAAAAAGCAAGCACTGAAGGCATCAGACGACGCGGCCAGACACCCCCCCAAGACAGGATGATGCTCCTCGCCCTCGCCGTTTTCGGCCAAGAAGCTGGCAGAAACACCCCAATTCTTTAACCGTTGCCGAGCCCGTGTAACGAGGAGAATTCTATTTCGATCTGCCCACGTCTGCGACATTGCATTGCCGACAACCTCGGCTGACAAAGAGTGGGGGTTACACATCCGTTTATGTTTCCCTCACACGTCTGCCGAAATCGACACGGCTGACTGGCTGCCACTGCTGCTACACGAAACGCTTGCCCGGAGACGGAAATTGGCATCGCCATGAACAGCACGCTAATGAAACACAGCATGCCTGCAATACCTCTTGCTGGCCATGTCGATGGAGTCACATCACCTCAAAACTGTCTCGCGCTAACGACGCTCTCTTCCCGAGCAGCAGGGCCAGCTCTGGAGTAAGCTTTCACCCCGAGGAGTGCACCATAGCCCACCGTGGTGACTGTGACAGTGCACATCCATATGGCCAATGGTAACGAATCAATGTTGCTCGGGTCATCCGTCATGTACAAGGCGGTCGCGAACACCAGGACCTCGGGGCATTTTACGGGACGGCACTCCAAAAACAGCGAGAGAGCCCCTGGCACAAATGAGATCTGAGCAGGCCACAATGATGCTGACCATGAAAAGCAAGAGCTTCAAGGCATCAACAACTGATGACAGAACATGCCTTAGTGCAATTTCGCCGGCACAGAGAACGCCTGAAGCAACTGCACAAGGCCAGCATGCTATTCAACATATGAGCCCAGCCCGAAGCATAGCTCTTCTCAAGTACTAAATCTCTTTGTATGCCGTGGAGCAGAAGCAGCTGTAGCTTCTTGAAGCGTCGGACCAACTTCAGCAGGCGAATCAAAGGGACGAAACACGTGAGTACATAGTGCACCACTGCATTCTCGGCCAGGGTGGGCGTTTCAGTGCCGGATATGCATCGGACTATCAAGGGCAGCAGCGCGCAAAAGTCGATGACGTTGTACGGGTTGTGAATAAATGCCTCGCGGCAGCACGGCCATCAAAACAAGACGGTGTCAAACTACCTGACACCCGCACACAGTGAAGCCTGCTCTTTATGAAGCAATCGATCGGGGCCCGGGCTTTGCAACTTGTACTGGCATATATGTGCGCGAGAAACTCGAGCGCAAGGGCCACCTTCGGATGGCAGCGGGCTGTCATGCTGATGGTACTCGCCCCGAGCGCACCTTTCACAACAACGTCAGAACCTTGTACAAACCACGAACCTCTCATGCGTAAGAACAGGTTGCGGATTCACTATCCTTAGGTCCTTTGCACTGCACCTACGCGATTAGAAAAGCATCCGGATCCGGATGGGATTGACGTAACTCCTGAGCCTCGGCCGGGAAACGCAAAGTAAGCTAAACCATCTTATCAGTAGTTTTTCAAGTGCTGTGTTCTGCCTCATTCTGGGTCTGTCCATGTCATCTGGCTTTCACTGTCCCAATAACAGCTGCCCCGTGTGTGCTTTACCTAAGACACAACGAATCGGTACCTGGCTCATGTGGCGCATGTCTGCTTTACATGGTGCATGGTTTCCCGTGCCGGCTGGTGCAAGTCGTTCCAGACTAAGCTAGTGAATGACTGATTACTCGGATATCCTCTCTGTACCGCTTCACGAAAACAAACGGTTTCTGGCAAAGGCCAGTAGGACGGTTTCCCCCCATCCTCTTTTGGTGGCTCGCTTCGGTTCTTTGGGACTCACTGATCACTGCTCGACTAAGCACTGCTGAATTGCCTTTTGACTTTGGCCTTTAACTGTGCTCCATGTTACTCTGGCCGTAATCTTCTTCCTCGTTCTTCTGTGCGTCCTTGGCTTGTCGCTTTCTGTTCTGCTCTTGACACATTTCCCATCTTCTGCATCCTCTTCGTCCTTGAGCCACTTAGTCTTTCGTCTAGGAGGTAGCTGTCCACTTCTGCTCGAACTGAAAATGCAGAAGCCGCACGCATCTTGTGTTCCTGGACCTGACGACCAACATGAGACTTTGAGGATCACTGGGTCCGGGTCTGCTTTCCTCATCCGGGTCCCCCGTCCCGTGCTTCTCCTCTGCTCGAAACCGATCCCGTGTCGCTGTCGCGGCTCTAGCTTAGTTGTTGTCCTGTCTTTCTTTCTCTACTTCTCTGCTAGCTTCCTTTCCCTCACGACTCTGCCGACCAGTCCCTTTGCCTTTTCGACTTCCTCCTTGAGACCCAAATTGGGCTTTGAAGCCGGGAAGCACGCCAACAAACTCACAGGGGAAATTGCAATGCAGGATCCCTGTCACCTCGCATTCAAAACCCTTGCCCCATGTTCCGCTGAAACTGTAGATGTAGTGCAGAGAAACAGATTTTGTCCGGCGTTTACATGCAATGACTCCGCCATGTGTGGCCGTTTCAATCCAGCATTGAGATTTGCACGACTGTCCTGGAGTTGTGGGGGTGTACTTCTCGCCACAGGGCGATTTATACCAAGGTGGGAGGTTGTATCTAAGTCTAAGTTCTGGACCTCCTCGTAGTTGGCCCTCTCTACTTGAGGCTAGGTTCAAAGACAACTGCGTCCGTGCATCCGTCGCTGCATCCATGCATGCACGAGCCACCACAGGTCCCCAGAACGTCTCTGGAGAAGCCCGTGTCATCGCGTGTCGCATGTTATGGGACATCTGCCATCTGCCCGCGATGCGAAAGACATTTTTCAGACTAGGAGGCTTTATGCGGAACACACGCTCAGCTTCACAGATCTCTACTCCAAAAGAATCCTTCTAACTCTCAGGCTCGGCATAGCACACGGTTTCTTGTATGGGGTAGCATGGGGTGCTGTTCCTCTCCACTGAAGGGTTAACCCTACTCTGCTGCTTTGCTCCCTTCCAAAGCTTCGATCTTTCGGCCTCCACGCAGATCTGGATGAGCCCTTCGGTAGGGGGAGGGAGCATAGGGCTCTGACCACCCTGCAGAATAGTCACCACAATGGAGATTGTGACGAAGTAGTTCCAAGCCGTCGCAAAATAAAATGCTGCTGCGCTCGAGTCAGGATCCTTGACAGACACAGGACCCACAATATGGTTTTCGTTGTTCGTTCTGTTGCTCTTACCTGTGGATGTCGGCGTTGTTGTCATACTTCGCCGTCGCAATAACAGTGGAGCTACTAAGACTGGTGCTAGTACTTGGCAATGGTAGCAGATCGCGAGCAGCAGCAGCAGCAGCAGCAGTAGCAGTCGTGGTCGGGGTCTGAGTGGTAGGGTAGTGGTCTTGTAGTGGTTGTTGTTGTCGTCGTAGTGGTACGGTGGAAGTAGCACTAGCTTGGCAGGTATCCAGAAAACGGCACAAGGAAGGAGGGCTGGTCCACACAAGCTTCACACCAAAGGAGGCTACGATTATTAGCATAGCCGCCTCAAGAAGCCTACACCCCAAAGCGGACAGGTCGATCATGCAGCAGTCGCAAGCACTCGCCTTGAGAAAGTGCTTCCGACTCTCCGATTGAAACTTGCGGGAGTTCTGCACGCGGTCGCTTTGATTGCTAAAGCCCTCTGCGGCTGAAACTGCATGCCGATGAGGGCACCAAGTTTGAGTCGGTCTGTCCACAATGCTGCATAAGTGCATAAGAAATTGAAGCTTCATAGCCTATTCATGACACCTCAACAAGAAGATGCCAAGGCTCCTCCAAAAACTGCCACAACAGACTGGAGGCGGCTTCCCTTTCGAAAAAGGAGGGAATCGAGCTTTCACTCGCGCGCCTCAGCACTTTCTTACCTTGGCCAAGAAAAACGCTTCGGGGAATTGGGGTGGCATCTGTGTATGTCTCATGATCCTGGTTTTCAAGCAACACCGGTGATGCTTGCAGGAGGCCTCCTTCAGTGCCAGAAGCCTTTGCTCTTCAGTCAGTTCATTCCAAAGGAGGCAGGGGCAATACACACACAGTGATTGCCAAGCATCGTCATTCTCCGTTGTGCTTGCGAAGCTAGCAGAACTCGAGCTGGAGCTGCTGGAAGGTGTGGACGGTTGCTTTGCCACTGGCTCGCATTGCCCACCATTTTCGTCCTGCACACGGGTGCAGGCACAAGATTCAAGTCAACTCTTGCACAGACTCTCTGGCTGCTGCGAGCAATTCCTCATCAGCACTTCTTTCGCTTGGCTGGTCATGCGCCTCCTGTGCCGGGTTCTGTTATGTTCTGTTTCTTCTAGAGAAGCTCGGAGCTTGAAGTTCTGTTTTGCCACTGCCGGTAAACTCTTCGTCTACTCAGATCTCCGCCGGTCAGCTAGCGTCGAGTCTGTGCCGTCACGACTACAAGTGCGGCCCCTGCACTGCCCTTGGCAGTTGTGCGAACCCGGCCTCGGGCTTGTTCGGCAGCTGCATCTGACAGATATTGCCCTGCATCAGGAGAGATACATGTGATCCTTCATCAACGAAAGCTTCTACTGGAATGCGCTTCAACCTGGAAAAAACCCGTGCGTCTGCTGCAAGCAAGCCAAAGATCACAGGCCCCTAGCAAGACACAACTTCTCGGCGGCCCACACTCGCAGTCAGGAGCATCTGCGGAGACACAACTGGGGTCTCCACCGCATTCTCCTTGCCCATTGCAAAGCACTGACTATGGTCTGCTAGAGTCTCATTCCCCGCGCTGACTCTCGCGAAGCAGCCTACTGAACATGCCAATGCTGCAGAAGTTTCCGGAGGTGGCGGAGGCAATTGCGATTCCAGCGGCGCAAATCTGGCTTTTGGCGTCTTAAGCTCCATGTTCGGCGAGTCCACGGATGGTAAGGTCGCCTACCGAGCAAATGCAATCACGAATGCTGAGACAGAACACCTAAACAACGCTGCACACAGCAGCTGCACACAGCAGCTACACACCGTCACACAGAGTCAGAGGATGTCAGAGGGACCTGGGAGCTCTCTGACATGGCTGACTTGGAAGTCAAGCGGTGATGAACCACTCCGATCTTGCGCCGTGGCTCCTGCCCGAGACGGTAGCATGAAACTTCGTGGCACCAGCATCAACCATGCAGTGCCTGACATGCAAAACCGCGTTCATCCCTACCGTAGCCGAGGTTCCTCACTGGAGTCGGAGTCTTCTGACAACATGGAGCTCTGTCGAAGCTTGCTCTGAGGGGGAGACGCCTTGGCTTCACAGGTCTACCGGCTACCGAAAACAAGAACAAGTACATTGCTAAATGATTCCCGTGGCTTTGAAGCTGCTTGCACCTGCATCCCATAGTCTGCGACTCAGGGCACAGGCTTCCACTCAGAGGAACTCCATGGCTTCTTGGGAGACAGCCGTAGAAATTGAGGTTTCGCACTGATGGGTGGCGGCACCTCGGACAGGACTTCGCTTTCATGAGGCCTTGACCCTTCGTGGACGCAGAACGTGCCGGCCTCGTCCCGAACCGGGATCAAGCTCTGGGTGCCGGCCTTGACGCCATCTTTGACGTCCCTCTCGTAGTGATGGAGTAATTCCTGAAAGTCTGCTTCAAGTGCATAGAAATGCCAACCTGCTTGTCTTCATCCAACCCCAGTGCAGCACTCAAACAAGGCGAGGCTCCGATCGTACTCTGGCGATTAACTGATCGAAATGTGCACCGAACGAATCATTCATATCCATATCCACCTCATGTTGTGGGCAATGAGGCATTCTCAGTGCTACGCAAAACTGGACGCAGTGAACAAGCAACCGCTGTTGCCACAGTGGTATTGCAACAACCACGGACCATGTGCTTCTTTATGAACCGCATAAGCAGAGAGCACAAGCTTGCGGATCATGCAGCTTTCGTTCAACCAATCTGAGGCAACGGCAATCTTGAGAGGGCCATGAGGACTACAAAGGCAAGCTGATCGACACAGTAAACTCCAGCAGCAAAACCAACACTTCAAGCAGTCTACACAACATGACATCGAGCAGCATGGCACTACAGCTCTCACCGATCAACGCCCCCTGTCTTGTTCTCTCAGGCACAAAGGACGGTCGGGGCCCGGGCACCCAGGCCCACCCATTTCTGGGGCTAAGTGAGAAAGGGACAACTCTCACTCTATCGAGTGAGAGTTCGCCGAGTACAAGACCATCGCGCCCTATATCTCTTTGCTTTGCTTTGCTTTGGAGCTTCAGGGGCTGGCAGACTTGCCCCATACAACATGTTGTGCGGATGGGCTCTGCCCGCTGCAGGTCCACTCTTTTGTTGAGTTGCGAGGACATGAAGGTTTTGCATCGTACCGAAAGGAACTTCCACACTGCCTATTTTCAGGACTCTGTTTGGGCGGTTTACGGATGTGGGGGTGTTCCGAACTATGTGCATAGAAAGTGTGCTGGTCGCTTTGATCACCTGCTGTGCTAAGCCGGCCTTTGCTACAGCCTTGGGCTCGTCATGTACTAGTGAGGAAGTATCTGCCATTCTTGTGTGTATTGGTAAGGGACTTTCGGCGAGTGCGGTTTCCTGGCACTGTCTTCTGTACTTCTGGTTCCCATTGTGGCTGAGCACTAAACACCGATTCAGGTGTCCCAGTCCGCACCACCTGGCGATAGGCGACTCCGGCTCTGCGTTGTGCCACGGCCCGCTCATGTATGGCCCCCGTTGAACTTCGCTGTGCGGTGTCTCGCAAACGACGAGGTTCAGGCCGCATTCTGCTTCGAGTCCAGCCCCTCAGAATTGTGCCGCTTCTCCTTGGGCATACCGGTATAAGGAGAAAACGGCGGCACTTTGTGGTTCTCCTGGGCTGGCCTTCGACTTCGAGGTCCTAGTCAGTTGTGTGCTTCGCCTGCTTTGGTCTCGGCTTTCTCGTACTGCTTTTGGCGAAATCGTCGGGCTCCTCTTGACTTGCCGCACGGAGGATAAGGTAGAGCTGCGCCCTCTGTGTGTGTACCGTTGCATTTGCGGCTTCTTGTTGCGTCGTAAGTCGTAAGTCTCAACTGGTTCGGACCGCACCGTCGCCATCCCCATCGATTGCAGAATGCCTCCTTGGTCGACCTTCCATGCATTTTGTTGAGCAGTTGTCGTCCCCCACTTTCCGTGTCCACGCTCGTGCACAACGGTTTCCTTCCCTCCTTCCTTCTCTCGCTCCCCTCCCTCCCTCCCTCCCTGGCTGCGCTCTCGTGCTCTCTCTCTCCCAGGCTGGAGGCCCCGCAGGTCAAACCCTGAACCTCGCACGCGTACGCGCACCTGCAGTTCCTGGCACCTAGGATTTCGCTCCAGGAGGCTCGGTTGCACGAGCGCTGACAAGTGCCTGAGGGCGGTGGTAGCGACGACTGCACCTACACACATACACTCTCTCTCTTTGCCTCTCTCTCATGCAGCTAAGAACTTGAGTCTTTAGTCTCCAAGCTTCCAGGAATAACCTCAGCCCGAGCAGTCTCAGGCAGAAAGAGGCCTCACAACTATGTGCAAGACAAGACGGTGCACAAGCATGCATAGATAAACGAGCAAGTCACTGCACCTGCAACGGCGGATTGCCTTTGGCATCCACACTGAAAGTTGGAGGCAGCGCCAACCATTTCGAGCAAACATGTTGAGTTGTCATGCACAGTTGCGCAAGCTTCACATCAGTGGCGGCAAAGACTGCCCAACACGAGTGGCTTGGCGTACTAGGCTACCTGCTGCCTCCATGATGCTATTCAACGAGACCGTCTTGGCTGCTTTGCCAAGAGCGACAAGCCAAGCAAGGGCACTCGCTCGCTTGCAAGAACGATCCTTCTTTATGGCTTCCCGTGCTTATCGCAGGACATAGTTCGGACGGAGTCTACACGGCACGAGCAAGATGATCGCAAGTCGTTGCTTTCAGCAGACTTGCAGAACATGGGAAAGAAGCAAGTCAACCTGGCACAGCACGAAGCAGAGCAGGTGAATTGCAAAACTGCTTGTGCACGACGTTCGGATGGAAAGCATAACTCTGCGTGTCAAGGCACGCGAGCATGCCCGAAGCATGTAGCAACACCAACTGCAATCGCCCACCTCTGCCCTACGTGATCCAGCCCCAAAACTGAATGGTTCGGCGACATAACTGCAGTTGAAAACACATGCAGAGTGAAACATGCAGGGTCGCAAGCATAAATGATGCGGAGTGCTTATGCCCCGAAAGTCATTCCAGAGGCTCGTCTGTACATCCGCCGATAGTCTAATGGGAAAAGCGCCTTCATGAATTCTCGCTCATCGATTCCTCCGTTGCCATCACTATCGAATGCCATGAAGAGCTCCGATGCCTGGCGTCGGCCGTCATAGAACATCACAAGCGAAACAGATCGAAAGAGCAGTTGGCCTCGTGCGGCTTTACGCCAACCTTCATGGCCGCTACGAGGTCCTTGGTGCCGACCAAACTTCATGATGGCAATGAAGGAAAGTGTGTGATGAGACAGTGAATCGAGGTAGCAGCAGTAGCCTCGGCAGCAGCAGCCTTGGCAGCAGCAGCAGGAGTAGCAGTAGCAGTAGCAATAGCAGTAGCAGTAGCAGTAGCGGTAGCAGTAGCAGTAGTAGAAGTAGAAGTAGTAGTAGTAGTAGTTGTTGTTGTAGCAGCAGCAGCAGCAGCGCATAGGAACAGCAGTAGGAGTGGGATTGTCATCGTCGTCGTTGCGGTCGCAGGTGTCGTGGTTGTTGCTACCGTTGCTTGCTAGCACCCAGCAGCAGGAGCAGCTCGGATATTTTTGTCGTCACATCGTCCGCTCACAGAACTGCTTCAGGGCTTAGTCCTGATCGCAATTCTCGGACACGCAAAGCACAGGGAAGCTTGCAGTGCTGCCGTGGAACGACAAACTCTTCTAATTCCAGCTCGCCGTTGTTGTCGGTATCGAACTTCTTGAAAAGCTTGGGCATATCATCTCGGGCAAAGACTCGTCATGCTGCTGCATGAGAAGGTGCTAGCTTGACGGTGGTGGCTTAGGTAGTCGCCAGGTAACCTGCAGAGTACCCCAGATTCTTCAGGCGAGACCGCGTGCGTGTCATGAGGAGGATGCGATGCCGATCTGCCCATGTCTGCGACATGGCATTTCCTAGAACCTAGGCAGCAGGCACTGTCGTGTCTCCACAAGGCACCGTGAAGTGCCGGCACAGTCTGTGCTGCCAAGTCACCGACAGTGGCATGGCCATAAAGAGTACGCTAATGAAGCACAGAGTTCCCGCCACAATTCGTCCGGGCCAAGTTGTCGGCGCCACATCGCCTCCGCAACATGACGACAGGTGCGATCTGCGGTTGATCTGGAACATCGACCTTGCATGCAACAACGAAGCAAAAACTGAGGGGAGGTCCATATCCAACGGTGGTGACGGTGACAATACAGAGCCAAATTGATGTCGGCAGCGAATCTACTGCATTTGCATCGTTTGGCTCCACAATATAAAGCACCGCAGCAAAGAATAGGACCTCAGGCAGGGCCTGGATCAACTGATTGCACCTCTAGTAACTAGTAGCTATAGCAGCTAAGCCACAATCAGACAAACCATGAACAGCAACAGCTTCAGGGCATCGAAAACCGTGGTCAACACGTGCCTCGAAGTTTAGCAGCACAGCAACAGAATGCTTGAGACACCGGAAGCTGCAAAAAGGAGGCTCCTACCGGATCGCTGCAAAGGCGGCCATGGTGCAATAACAACTGCAGCTTCTGAAATCGACGAATCAACTTCAGCTGCCGTATCACCGGAACGAAACACACCAAGACGTAGTGAGAGAAGGGGTTCCTTGCAGTCGAAGGGGTCTCCACGCCAGAAGCAAGCCGAACGATTGTCGGAATAAAGGCTGCAAGGTCGATCACGTTGTATGGGTTCCTGACGAACTCCTGGCAGGGAGCGGATGCGAAGCCTGCTTGGGCACTTCGGAGATATGAAACACTCTGGCCGAATTGCCTCAATCTGAAGCACTCAAAGCCACAAGCAGAACACTTTCCAAAGCGCTGAAGGCTTCGGTTCCGCCAAGTCGCCCTCTTCGGCCCCGACGCAATCCATCGAATAATAAACTCAAGCAACATGAGCACCTCCCAACACCAGTTGAGGTTGGGTTGCCAGCAATCAAGGTTCAGGCTCATGGTGAGAAAATGAGATTCTGAAAATGACACAGAAAATAACCCCCATGCTGGTGTATCGTTGGCCAGCAGGGTGTTGGCTTGAGTTATCTTGAGTTCGAGGGTGCCGATGCTGCTGACCTTTTCAGCCATTTGGCTTCTCAGTCCGGCCCAAGCTGGAGGAAAAACTTGATGATTACTCGGCATCCCTACGTAATGTGACGAAGCTCAGACCTATCTCAAGTCATGCTTGAAGGCCACAACCGGCAAATGAAATCTATGCAGTCTCTGCCCAAATGTCGCCGATGGCGGTACGTAAGCGATGGACCCTGCATTCCGTCGTAAAGAGCAGGTTGACAAAGATGCTTGCTTCAATGTCAACTTCGAAACAGCCGGGTCTACAGCTCCAGCTTGCACAGTATCTGAGCCAAGCGCCTCGACTATTATTTGGATGATGCCTTCGGCCATACCGGAAAAGGGCGGATAAAGCGATGCTTGCCAGATCGTGAAAAAGATGCTCAAGCAGACGAAGTAGTTGCTCAGCGTAGCGAACCAATAGGCTGAACGGCTCGAATCAGGATCCTCAAGCGACGGTGGCGACTGCATTATAGATCTTACAGGAGCAGCAACAGCCAGCAGAGCAAACAGAGCGAAGCGACCTCCAGAAAGAGCCATACTCGAGAAACGGCCGGCTCCCGCTTGAAGAAATCGGCCATGGAGGCGTTGCTGATCCGCTTCTTGGCCAAGCGACCTTTGGAGAGCAACCATTGACAGATCTAGCGATTGAAACTTACAACCCCTTAATCTGCTGAAATGCAGGATCTACATTGCTAGACTCCCAATTCAGTAGCGATTTAAACCAGAACATCTCACCTGGGCCCTCTTGGCAGCTGCTGCGCGAACATGCTGAATTGCGTGACTCTCTTCGCTGCGCACCTGTGCTTGGAGAGTCGCTTCCCTCGACAGTTGGTCAATGCTAGGTTGCGTCCTTCCTCTGCTCTCTGCTGACCAAGGGCCTGCACCCAACTTGTTGCGGCCTGCGCCCTTTGCCTTTAGTTCCCTCCTCTCTTCCACACAATCACAAAAGTTAAGCAGCCGACCCCTGCAACCCCTGCGCCCTGGTCTTTTGGCCCGCCTCTATCGTAGCCTCCTTCTTCCTCCTCCTACAGGGCTTGTGAGGGCAAGAGCACAGTGTGCCCCAGCCCCCTCGCGCAGCGACGTCCTGGGTACGTAGTACTGGCACTCGCAGCCTTGCTTTTGTGGCTGATGTCGCAGACTTTGCAGCAATTGGTGCTACAGTAGCGTGGCACAGTGTGACAACAAAGCGCCCCGAAAAATAGATACAAACGCTAAGTGCCCTTTTGCCTTTTGCAACTGGCTGACTCTTTTGCCTAAACCCTAAACCATTCCTGACCTTCGTAGTGCTAGAGATGGACCTTCCCTCTCTCTGCTTCTTCCACACAGCCAGAGAGGGCAGTTCCCTACCCTCCCCACGCGCCCTGGTCTCTCAGTCTGCAGTCAGCAGGTAACTCCGCTCTCTGCTTCAGCAGTCAAGAGAGCACGAGCAGCTCTGGCGGATCTTGCTTGCTTGCATCGCCAGGGTCTCTCTCTCGGCTTGTTTTACGAGGCGGCCGGGTGCATTGGAGCTCCCAAGTCTGACCCCGAGTCTACCAACATCTGGGCAATTGTGCGTGGGATCCTCGTGACAGATAGTAGAGCAAGCAAAGGGGCTGTTTGACGGGATGTGGCCATCTGGATACAGGCCCTCATGATCATCGCCATCCTCGGTCGACAATGAAGTCAACTCGTTCGCAACATGGCCACAGGCCCAACAACGCCATCTATCTATTGCTTGATTTGCAGGTCCGTCGATGCCGGCAAAGCTGCGCTGCTCGATTCAAAGCTGGACTCAGAGTCGGCACGTCTCGAGGAATTCATTGCGGAATTCACAGAAGGCCTGTGACCCTGACCAGGACGGGCGTCATGCGAAGATAGCAATTTACTCCCCTTTTAGCATGACATGGGCATGCAAACTGGCGGAGAACAAGCAGTCCTGCATGGCAATAGCCTGCACGCGCAACGTTTCAGTCCGCGCAGTGTCCTGCGATTTGTTCATGGTACTGAATCGACAGGCGCGAATTGCATAGAATCAACAGCGTGTGTTCACAGCCTTGTAGCCAAAGCTAGATGTTTTTGTGCCGCTTTGCAAATGCCCCAATTCCCCCCCCCTTGCATGCCATGGACCGTGGCCGATTTTGGGGCTGGAACCCTTGAAGATGCTGTGGTGGGCTTGGGATCTTGGTATCACCGCGACATCTCAAGATTGTCAGCAGACACGGGTGAAGGTCCCTACAGGTGCCCCTTCCCATTTCTGTTGAGAGAGGCATCACACTGTCGAGGGGAAATGCCCCCGCCCAGCCAAGGGCATCTGTTGCCTTCAGCAGCCAAACCCACAAGGTTTTGGGGCGGGCGGGGGAGGATGGGGGCTTGGCACCTCTATGTTTGAGGCAGATGCAACTCTCACAAACCTTAAGGCATGTTTTTGGGCTTTGGAGTTCAGAGAAATCTAGGAGATGCAACAAACGAAAGATTGGCGGCTCTTTGAATCTGGTGCGGCACTCATGGAAATTGCGACAGCCTGGGTCTCCAAAGTGTTCGGCAATGGCAAATGCTCCATGGAGCTCGGGGCCACCTCACGAAGGACAAGGCTATGAAAACCGTTGTCAACCGAGCAGGCATGCAACAAGCACATCTGGAGAACGAAGATAGCCTAGACAAATTACCGTGAACAGCATGCATGCGTCTGTCCAGTAGACAGGCCACAACTGACGCCAGCCACGTTTCTGTTACTTCAGAAGCCCCCCGAGGGCTCCAGCTTCGCTGACGGTAGCTAGTAAGGACTTCAACAGATTAGTGGCCCTTGATGAAGTAGTAGTACAGAGAAGCTCCTATCGGATCTCATGCAGTGTGGATCGCACCTGCGATACGAGAAGCATCTTTGGCGTTGCTTTCGGAGCTATCACGGCATCTTCCTCAGAGGTCTGAAAGATCAAAGAAAGGTATCACAACAATGCTTTAAAACAACACGAGGAAATCCTTGAGTGATCTGACGGACCCCAGGGCTTCCTGCCGGGCATCCTTCGGCAGCTCTGGTAGCTCTGGGCGAGGAGGGGGAGGCTTCTCTGGATGCGTGGCCTTCTTTTTCGGTGTCTTGAGCTCTCCATCGCCGAGACTGGATTCAGAGACCTGCTTGTCAGATCCATGGCAGACTGAAGATGCTTCCTGAAGCACGGAAAGGCGCCTCTGCATCCGACTCGTCGGAGCTGTCGTGCAATGGAACGACCAGCGGTCTCGGCATGCTTTCGGGTGATTCCCGGGCAGCCGACACCTGGTTGCCCATGGCCTCGAAGCGCTTGAACGCGCTTGCGACTGGAGTCTAAGTAGTCTACGCCTAAGCATGCGGTGGCTTGGCTCCGGAGCGCCTCGGCTGAGCTTGAATCACTTGAGTCGCCTCTGCCTTTGGAGGCCGATAAGAGAATAGGCGTGCTGTGCACAATCTGGATGACCTCAAAAGGGCTAAGGGCTAACGCTCCCGAACTCTCTCTACTCTACCTCTGTCAAAGCCCATCCAAGAAAAAACGAAGCCCTCCAAAGCGCGCCGGCCTCCGAGTCCACCTGATTCTCGGACCCTGGCTCTGGCCGTGAAGCCACATCTCTGTCATAGTGATGCAGCAGCTCCTCGGCCGCGGCCCCGCTCGAACACTCGAACGGCGTTACGATGACGATGCCAAGGACACGAGGCTACGTGTCCGGCTGGCTATGCTGTTTCTTCTGCAGGTAACCAGCTTGACGGACAGGTCACAGTCTGCCTTTCTGTAGCGGCTACTGACATCGCGAGTTGACAACGTGAACAGTTTTAGCCACCAGAGCCGAAGACCGCCTCTGCTATCCATTCCCAATCACTTCATCGAGGTCTGCAGTGCATCTGGCAGCCAACACTATGAACAGTGACTACTGCTAAAGCGGAAAATGCATGCGTTTAGCTAGCTTTTGCGAGCCCGTTGAGCGCATCAGCAAGTCAGGTGTTCGAAGGGGAAACCCGGGAGCTGGGCCACAAGAACCCAGGAACATGGCTAAGCTCACGGCTGCTCTGAGCTTGGAGATCAGAGCATCGAAGTGCTCACTGAAGGAAATGTCCGGTTCGGCCTTATGGAAGACATGAAGACTTCTGAAACCGCTGTGTTGGAAACATTTCCCAGGTGTCGCATCGCAGCCAAGGGTAGCTTGGAAATCTTGGAAACGAGGTGCCGATTCTTTCTCCATGCCGGCCATGGCCATCCGAAGCGGGCCCGCCAGCGGCTGTTAGCCAACACAGCTGTTCGGAATGGTCGCGTTTCAAAGGCAAGGCCCGCAAACAACTCAAAGCTTCAAGCACCAGCACCATACACATCTCTGGCAGAATCTTTCCTAGTTACAATGCCTTGCATGTCGTTCCAGAAGACAGGACAATGGTCCTGGCACTTCCTCACCATCCCTTGGCCGTTTTGGCGGCGGCTGTGCCTCGGATGTGCATTCCGATGCTTATTCCATGCTTCGAACTCATTGTTCGGAGGTGCAAGTCATCGTCTGCTTGCTTAGATCATGGTCATGGACCAAAACCACTAACCCTGCGGAAAGTTGAGGCTCCAACCATCCGCTGCCACGAAGACTTGAAGGTTGCGCTCTCTGAGCCCAGAAAGAGTACATTGGTGCAGGCACTTTGTGGCATTCTCGTTGCACAATTTAACCGCAGAGCTATTTCCAACTGTCGCGATACAATCTCGCGGTAGGTTGCACATTGTTGACGAAGCTCTGGGCATGCTATGGCATGCTATTGGGCTTATCATCTGCTACGGATGATGGACCTGCACATCTTGCTCTAACAGACTCTAACACAGGACAACCTTCCTGGAAACCCAGAAACCTGCAAGAGAGGGGAGCTCCCAAGTCTCCAAGCTTCCTGCGTTGCAGATTTTTGCTCGTAGTGCTCAGGCACTCAGTCAGCGCAGATGTGTCGAACATGCTCGCATTTTGTTTCGCTCCTCTGTCTGCTATGCTGCATGGTTCGTCTGACTACTGTTGCGACAAAGCGGTTGGAACAACTCCGGAATTGGCATGGCCGGCAGAAGAGGCAAACTAGGAGATTGCTGAGTGATGAGGTTTGGCGAATTCTTCGACTGCGGACTACTCCGCTCGCTGCCCAACCGGTGAGGGCGACGGAGCTAATAAACGGTGGTGAAACAGAATAAGGTCGGCAGTCAGTGGCTTTGCCAAGCACAGCCGACACACCCGAGGAATGTTTAATGAGTTTTGAAACGAACTAGCATCACGAACTGTTTGTGCGGCCAGCGGCCACTCCTCAGAAAGATGCCATGGTCGTGGTTCTGATATAGAGCTTCCGGTAGTCATCAGGGAATAAAGCCTTCATGAACTCCCTGTCGTCAATGCCTCCGCTCGCATCTGTGTCGAAGAGTTCGAAAAGCTCTTCAGCCTCCGACGGCCGAATGCCGACATTCATCTTCGAGACCATATCCTCAGATCTTGAGGTTCTCTCCGCATTGCGGTTTTCTCGTTTCATGGACTTAACATGGTAGAGCACATTGATTCTCGAGCTGTGTGCAATCTCTCCTCTTGGGTCCAGGAGGAGTGCAAACAAGACACGCAGAACTCATCCATGGTCAGCTCCCCATTGCCGTTGCTGTCGAACTTTCGGAAAAGCGACGGCATGTCGCCTCGCGGGAGCGCGCAAGAGTTTTTTCTCTTCTCACATGCAAGCCAGACCCCTGTCCCCAAGTCCAGATTTTCCCGCATCTCACTAGGCCTTCTTCGCTAAACCTTTGACTCGGCGAGGCTTCCAAGACACGGCCTTCCTGCAGTTGCAGCCCAGTCGCTGGCTTCATATCCGTAGCTCTTAAGTCTTTGGCGTGTCCGGGTCATCAACAGAATTCGGCTGCGATCTGCCCATGCATGGGTCATAGCCTGTGCAGGAAAGTGCGCTGCACGCAGGCTTTGTCAGAATTCTCAAGGCATCTAGGCACCAACCCCACGCGATGCCAAGCTGCGTTGCCCAAGACTGAGATGGGCATAGCCATGAAAAGCACGGACAGGAAACAAAGGACTCCTGCGAGCATCCGCCCTGCAGTGGTAGAAGGCGTGACGTCTCCGTACCCGACCGTCGTCACGGTCACGGTGCAGACCCACATGGCCGTGCTCAACGAATCGATGATGTCAGAAGGCTCGACGATATACATTAATGTAGAGAAGCTGAGTACAATTACCTCAGTCATCATAGTTGCGCCGAAAGCTCTTGGGCTCGTAAGTTCAGGAGATTCCAAAGCTCAGAACACCGAGGTACCGAGATGAGGAAAAGCAGCAACTTCAACGCATCTCCCGTGGTGCTTAGCACGTGGGAGACTAAGCTGAGTTTGCCAAATCGGCGCACCAGCTTCAGCAAACGGACCGTCGGAACAACACCTACCTCAGCTGAAAGATCGGTAGCTTTCTCTTCCGCCGACATGTCCAAAGCATTCAAAAGCCCGAGGCCAAGAAACGAGAACATAGTGGCTGAACGGCCTGTCCGACATCGGAGGCAGAACGAAGCCCGCTTCGATGCGCAAAACCATCGGTAGCACTGCTGCGATGTCAATGTAGGTGTGAGGGTCTCGCAATAGAACCTCAGATCTTTGAAACCTGGGGTCCTAGGGAAAGTAGACGTCGAGAAGATGTATGAATCTAGCGGCAGGGATCTTACAAAATTGGGTTGAATTGCTGTGATCGTGTCAAGCGGAACTGAGCTTCGAGCGAACTTGCGAGGCTCCAATACCGCATTGGCCACAAGCTCCATGCAGAAAAGCGCTTCGATGACAACCTCGACGTAGCCGAGACGCTCGCCCGAAATGGGAGGAGGGTTCAATGCCTCCAACAAGTGGCAAGTACCGTCGCATGATCGCATCAGGTCACGCATGAAGTGTGTTTCTTTGCATCTCGCGCCTGCGTCAGAGATAGGAAGACTGTCGTCAGGATGAAGAAGTTCCATACCCGGGCGAAAATCCCAGCTGAGGCGCTCGACTCGCTGTCTTGCAGGAAGATCTTCCACTGCGAAGTTCCTGCCGTCTGCGCCTTGAAGAACGATGGCAAGGAGCCGTTGCTGTCGAAGCTGATTTTACTGCGCTTGCTCGCATTCGAGCTGCGACGCTCCTCCTCTCCAAGTCCGGGATACAAGCAATGAGCTTAGCGGCTGCAGGCCCAACAGTTCGGTCCTCGTGAACATTGAAGGAAAGCTTTTTGCCACTTGCCATCTTATCGGTCTTATCGGTGTCGTCTGCATCTGACATGCATGGAATAGTGGGGATCGATGCAGATGCAACCACATATCCTGAGACGGATGTTGGACCTCAGCTAACGCAAAGCTTCCCACTCCGACCTAGTAAGCTTAGTTCAGGATTTGTCGGAGACTTGAGACATGCTGGAGTAGAAGCTGAGCTCTGCTGTGAAAGCCGCGCTCCACTTACGAAGTCCAACCGAGTCTCTGCCAAACTCATCATTTGGAGGCTGTTCACGGCGGTCAGCGACTGTTTCCTGGTGCACAGACTCTGGTGCTGTGGTCTCTACATGCGCGGCTAGTCGTGACGCTATCCTCGGCGCCGGATACGGGATCATCAGGCTTGGCGAACGCATTGGAATAGGCGTCTTTGGTGACAAAGTTGCCTCAAGCAAAGCAAGGCAAGCGCAAGTTTCCCCCGGGCCTATACAAGGGTTGACACGGCTCTGCTTCCAAGGAGCCTTCCTGCTGGGCCTGAAGCACGGCAGCATGGCAACATCCGGCGTGACATGTCAAGTTCCGGATCAAGCGGCGACCAGAGGAGCTGGAAGGCCGTCCGGCAGAAGCTCCATGCCAGCGACACTCTCCTCAGCTTCTCGGAAGTGCGTGCCCTCATGAGGTCCCCAAGACACACGCCAAGCATCCACTTCATCTACCTCCGCCGGTACCCCTCCAGGCAGTGGATGGGGCGCCGTGACCTCCGAAAGCTCAAGAAGAACTGCAAGCCACGGAGGACCACAGCGAAGAGCACAAGCCTTCAGCTTGTTCTCTGAAGGAGGCCGTGGGGCACTTCGTTGCAGCTTCTCTTTCGATCGAGATCGAATGGAGCTGGAGGACCGCTCCGAGCCCCAAGTCTGCATCCTTCTAATGCTCGGCGTACGGAGGGTGGTCAGGGTGTCAGGCGGCCGGTCTAATCGGAAGAACTCCGTCGACTTTCCTGAAGAGTCAGGAGGCACTAGACCACTAGACGTATGGCATGGATGTACGACTGCTGAACGTGCCATATTCGACCCAAGCAGCCCATCAAGGACCGCATGCGAAGTCTTTGGACAGTCATGTGGTGCTCATGCTGCTTCAGGATGTCCTCTCGCACGTTTTGGAATAGGACATCCAGCTGCCGGCTGAACGGCTCCATTTGGGGCACGGCTCCCGGCAACAATCCGTGCTTCAGATACCTGGCGCTCTGCACCAGTCCGAGCCAAAACGGCACAGGCGGCAGATGGAGTGTCGGAGCCGGAGCTCTGGAAACCCAACATCGGTGCTTCCAGCAAGGATCAAGCACGACCGCTTGCAAGCAGTTTTGCGTGTTGCCGTGCTCAAGCTTCGCGTGCCAACATTTGCTCAGCAAATGCTGGAAGCTGGGAGAAGTGTTCAAGTGTGGGGGGATGGCAGTGGCGATGATTACGCCTGGATGGAACAAAGACAAAAATGTGATGTCTGTAAGCTAAAGCTCAAAATCACAGCTTCAGATTGAAGCTGTCGTAGATCTATGAAAGGACCGCGTGAAACGTCACACGCCCTTCTCCTGCGCACTGCTTGCTAATGATTGCGCGCAAGCACTCTTTTCAACTCTCAGCAACTTGTCGAAACAGGCTGTTTAACCTGCCTTGCTAACCCTGGAGTCACCACCGTCACCGTGTCGTCGTCATGGCCACCACCATCTCCATGACCACCATCAACATAATCGCCATCGCCATGGTCATCTTTATCACCCCACATGCGCCAGAAACATTGCTTTGATCACACTGTTTTAATGGTGACTTCTACCAGCTTCATCACACGCATCGTCAGCTGAGCTGCAACGAGAGATGGTCGCCACTTTCAAAATTGTTCCGGCCGAAGGACTCACAAGGAACTGTGAGCAAAGATGTGCAACCTTCTAGCAATTACGATAGGCATCAATCTCACAGCAAGGCAGCCAATCAATCCCAAACCCTGTAGCATATGCAGACATGACAGCCATCTTGTTTTGGCGCGAGCTGCAGTAAATCCCATCGGACGCTACCAGGCTTTGTCCCTGTTGCTGTGCTTCGCTGGATCATAGCTTGTTCAGGTCATCGTAACCGAGCAGCACACAATTCCGATCTCGAGCTTCTGATTCTTGGTAGCCCCGGAATCGACCATTGTGACTGTGGGTCCGCAGTTTCCCTGCGCCCTCATTCTGAGAGCACCTGCAAGGTGTGGATGCCATCTGATGTATCTCCTGATGTCCTGCATCACATCAGCATACACGAGGCAGACGCCGGGTTGGTGTGCACGGGAGGTAGTATGAGTGGAGATCGCTGGTCGGCGAGGTCGGACCTGGTGCGGCGGACCTTGCGGAGTCTGCAAAAGCTCGCTCACATGATCTGAAAAAAGTCTTCGTGCTGCCCTGCCCTGCTTACACTCACGCAGTTGGTCAGGTGCTGTGACCACATGTTCACCATTCGCGCCTAGAATAGAATCTGAAGCTAGACTGCTCGGGATTCCAGTTAGCTCAAAGCTGCCCATGCCAACGACGGTACTGTTTTCGCGGCATCATGATCATAAAGCAAATGCCGAACATGACTACTTATGCCAGATGTTGACTCGATAAAGTACGACTGTCACATTGAGAAGTGCAGAATACCAAACAGATTCTTTACGAGGCGCTCTGCTGTCTAAGTCAGCAGGGCGGGCACTTGGGGACGGCAGCTGCTGAACACTTTGTGCACGTCGAACCGGTGCGGTGGTCATCTGACACATCAGATTTCATGAAAACGGAGCAACGAACAGGGACAAGAAATGGACATGCGAAAGCTTCTACACAAAGGAACCGGCCTGCATCTTTTTGCGCCAAGGATCAAACCATGCATGCTTCAGACACTCGGTTGCCGCCCCGGATCCAAGGCGCTTAGACCTGTCCTGCCGATCATTGCAGTACTTCAGCCTAGAGAAATTAACTCTCTCAACCTATTCCGGCCTTCTTCAACATGGCAACCAGGAAGTCGGCCAACTCCTTTACATGCCACGAGCTTTTCAGCAGAGTGGCTGGCAGAAGTTCAGATAAGCTGCTCCGCTTCTTCTGCGCGCGGCGTCGTACATGGAAGGCAAGATCAGCCCTCCGGGTTCTTCACCGAGCCATCGCAAGAAGTCGTTGTCAGAGCCAGTCCTGCCACGTCACTTCCGGAGCTGCACCTTTGAGGCTGGGCTTTCTTTGGCCGTGGCTCCTTCTTTTCAGTTGCAAGTATCGGTCAGTCAGCAATGACGACAGGAACACAGTCTCCAGCACACAGATCCCGACACTCCACAGGTCCATCGACGGGGCCAGAACCACCTGACAAACGTGCGCAACGGGAACAGGATCTTGTAGCGGTAGCGGCAACTGGTTCTGCTCTCTCCGAGGCACTGGGCAATGCTGGGCTTTACCAGGACCCGCTTTCAGGTAGGCTCTGGCCAGTTCTGGTGCCATGTAAGGTGGTGTGAAGGTCACGTCTCCGTATCGCACAGCAACCTTCAGCCAGCAGCAAAAACTAAAAGCTGTTTATCTTGCCTGGAGCAGACTAAAGCCCTTCACAAATGAAGGGAAGAGGGCCTCCACAGCATCCCTAACAAGCCCTCCAGAAGCTAGGAACTTAAGCATTTCGCCTGCCCAAGACAGGGAGACATCGACAGACAGAGCAGGCATGAAATGACACAAGCTTAGAGAATGCAAAAACATTTTGCCTCGGTTTGCCGAGAAGCGCCAGCTCTGACCGCACAGTCCTGAAACAAAGCAGCAAGCAATGGCTCCCAGACGACTGCCGCCCTTCCAGAATGTTCCCTGTCTCTGAGACACACAGTGTCAATCGGCCATTCCGGAAAAACCAAAGATTCTAAGCGAGGCTGCGACTGGCCGATGAAGTGCCTCTCTCATCTCGCATCATCCAGCAAGAATTGGCTACTGCGGCAGCGCACACTTTGGCCGACCATGTTGGCTCACAGCCTCTGCCAGATCAGTTCGTGATGCTGGTGCAGCAAAGCATCCAGATCGACCAACTTCCACTGCCATTTATCACCTGAAGCCGCAGGGGGCCTACAGCAAGGTAAAATCCCATATCTTTGCATCGACGCTCTTTCGGTCTACTGGTGAAACGGCATGGTACTCAGACAAGGCGCCCTTTGGAAATCTGACGATGTTCGAGGGCTTGATGTCCAAATGTACCACGCCATGTGATTCCAACCTAGGGCCACAGACTGGGCAGTCGCTAGCCGCTAGCTGCTAGCAGTAGCAGTAGCAGCAGTCGCCCTTGGCACTTCCTGCAGCCGGGGCAGCTGGCAAGCCAAGGACACCAGGGCCCAATGAAGTTCGCGGAGCTCCGACAGGGAAAAGTGCCTCTCTTCGCGGCACCTCCCCGCCAGCACATCTTCCTCAAAAGTGAGACACAAGCGCAAGTTTTCCATTCTCTAACTCGCACCACTCCCTACACGCACTCGACAGGCAGTCAAGACTGCCAACGGAGAGCACAGAGCAGCAAAGCTTCAAGTGACTCAGCACCAAGCTCCATGACCGTAAACATCACTCCATCCGAATCAACTCCAGGGTAGCCACGGCTGTCCACGGAATGGCCCACGATCTCCACAGTCCAAAGGCCGCCGTTCCCTGAACCACGAAACACGAAACTTCAGTCCGAAGAAGTCTCCACAAGTCTTGGAGGCCTGCAGGCAAACGGCCGATCGGACGCTTCAGCCAGGAAGACATCTCGATGCTGTTGTGAAAGCAGTGCTGGCACATCCTGCGGGTGCTCGGGTGCATCGCTGCCACAAAGCGACTAAATAAAGCTCCTGCAAAACACCACAAGATGCTTCAGTCCTGTCGGCGTCCCGATATATTTTGACAGCCACGGGGGAACCAAGCCTGCGGTCGATGCCCTTGTAGACCCGAGCTGCCCGGCCCTCGCCCAAGACATCGTGAGTTGAGTATGTGTACCTCTTCGCGGTGATTGCATGCTTCTCTTGAGAACGATTCCCATGGAAAAATTAGACGTCACATTCTATGCAGGCGGCCTTCCCTGCAGAGTTGCTTGTAAAGGCTGGCCAGACGTGCTGCAGCCGTGCAGCATCCAAGCTGCCAAGAAATGGCATATTTGCAGTACTGACGGTATTTTAACGGGTGGCGCTACCTTGCTGTGGGCCGCTTCTCGGTCTGGGTCACTTTCGTACGGGATTAGTGATTAGTGTATGTCTCTGCAGAGGTGCTCACAATGGCTACCAGCATTCTTTCTACTGCCTCCGTGAACTGAAAACAAAACTAAGACTTCTAAGTTCTTCCTGCTCAAATGGCCGTGGAGCGGGTCGCACAGTGCAGTACACTGCATCAACTGCCTTTATGGACGGCACCCGGAAGAAAACACGACAAGCACAAAATGCGATGCAAGCCCTCCTGCTAGCGGGTGGTCGACTTCGGATCGGTTCCATTTTTAGCCTGGCAGCCCGGCATTCTGCGTTTGCTCTGGGGCTCTCGCAACCACTTGACTGCATCCTCCATCCCCCGATGGGCCCAAGCTATGCAGTGGGCTGTGTGCCTGCTCCTTCCGTCGGGCTGGCATCATTGTGACGTAGGCCTACCGGGCTGCACATACGCAAGATCAGCAAGGAGACGTCATCTCAAGCAGTAGTTCAAGTCAGTCCAGTGTGCACACGATGGCTGACCTTTGGCTTTCCGGCCTTGCCCATGTCGGTAAGAGGTCGGTCGTGGACGGCTTCATTGAATGCATAGACCGGTGTGCGAGAGGTAATGTGCTTGATGTAAGCCTGACCAAAGAGGCTCAACTCCGCTCGCTCGCTTGCCCTCTTTTGTTCTAGGGCATGGGGGACGGTCAAAGTCCCCCGGCCACAGCGCCTTGAGCTGACGCGGCCGGCAGCTCGCTCTGTCTCTGCTTCCCTCTCTCTCGCTACTACTGTAGGCGGGGTAGCCCGTGCCAGGTCAAACCCCGAACCCCGCGCGCGTGTGAGCGCACACCCGCGGTCCTTGGCAGGTGTCTACGCTTTGGGTTGTTTTCCCCCCCACACCTGGCTGTACTGTGGAAAACTGACTGCAGGTCGCGACGACCTCCCTTGACTCGACACATACATAACGTAAACATGCTCCTGGTCGTCCCCCCCGGGAGCCGGGGGTGGCAGTAAGAAACACTACAGCAGAACGCGAAACTGGTATAACTTATAACGCTATTGCAATCACCCTGGAGGGCCCGGCCATAGAACTTGCTCGGCTCACACGTGCAGTGGGTTTCTACCCCACTGCGAACGGAACACAACCAGACTGCCAAAACAAGGTAAATTCACGTAAAGTAGATGTAACCCAAACAAAGAGGTTTTAGTGCACATGTCGGCATGTGTTGGAGAAGCATACACGGTTCATCGACTCCTCGCCTTAGGTCGCTATCTCTCTCGCTGTCTTTTTATCTCACTGCGCCCCTCTGTCTCTCTTCCTCTCTCTCTCCATCGAGCAACGAGGGAGGGGAGCACGCCGGGCGCGCCCGTGCATCCTTGCGGCCCTTGGGGGCCTTCACCACTGTGCATCCCACAACAAGCCTTCCGTGCGTGCAGCCATCCCCGTCCGTGCCATACTGGCGGTTCGTCCTCTCCTCGGACCCGCCTGCTGCAGGGATATCCCCCCAGCAGTCTCTGGCCTCCTCGAGCAGCACGTCGACCGAGTGTACATCGTAGGCCAGATTCATTATGAGCTTGCGAGTGAGGTCCATTTATGTGATAATATCGCATCAACTGACAGGCTTTTCTGCGCACCTGTATCTGTGTGACTGCTTCCCCTCCCCCAGTTCCCTCTGCACATGTTCCACCTCTAATTGTAGCAACGGCCGAAAACGGTAGCATAAGAGGTCTTCGCAGTCCCTCAGGCTTGTGTCTTGTGGCGCTGCTGTTTGCTGGATGAGAGGTCGGGTGATCCACGTGAAGCGGTTCTCCGTGAACTCATCGATGAGGGCCCTCCAGGCTTCGCCGTTGTCATGTCGAATACCCCGACAACGGTACTTTGTAGTTCTCTGTGGTCACCCCCATTCTGTTTCGGGCTGTCCTGGAAGGTTGCCGGGCCGTTTCACCATGGAGTCGACATCGCGGATCTGTACGAACATGTGTTTTGCGAATGCCAGGGATGCACTGCCCCCGTCCTTGACGGCATATGCGGTAACTATTTCTCCCTGAGCACAGGGGTTGCACCAGGTCCACCAGGTTTAAAGATCTTGACCTCGCCCTTCGTGCAACTATCACGATCAGGCAGGTGAAGAGCTCCCGCATCCAATGTTGAGGTACTCTGGGAACAGCGCTGCCGGGAAGTTTAGGATCCCCCCAAGTGTCAACAGGAGCGGATCACCGTACTGAGGCAAACCTCCGGCAGTTTACCCCTGAGTAGTCGAAGAAGTCTCACGCTCGTTGTGATGGGCTTGTGATTTCTCAAGGCACCCCCTAAACAAAAGTTTACTTCCTCGGAGAGGTGGGGTTCCGGTCTCGTGGGCACATTACGAGATTTTCCCCCGCAACCTCCCCCTCGAGTTTGCAAAGGCATCGTAAGTGGCGAAGTCGGTGTGGGCACCTTGTGCCAACATGGCTCCTGTCCGGGGGTGGAAAGAAGTGTTCCTCCGAGTGTCAGTGTTAGCAACTCCCCCCGAAAGCACACCCCTGTCTCTCTTTCTTTCGCCAGGCATGAGGGTCTCTTGCTTGCTTGCTTGCTGAGGGGTTTGGGCCCTGAAAGGACCCTGGCCCGAAGGCCTACCCCCACAACGGTCCGCAAACTCCTCAGTTCGAGTGGGCCCTTCCGGGGTTGAAAGAAAGGCTCGTTCCCCCACTTGAGCTTGCATACCCTGTCCCCCGAAAAACACACCTCCTAAGACCATGACCCTGTCAGACCAGCGAGCTTCAGGTGGGTCATCCGAGGTCTCTCCAGTTCGGCTACGCGAAAGTGGCTTGTTGCCGACAACCAAACTGCCATACTACATTCCCGTCACTGCAATCCACTCCCCAAGTGTCTGCAGTGGGCTCTGTACCCCCACGCAGGTGGAACTTTGCACTACTGAACCCCCACCTTGCCTGCCCCCCCACCTGATCCCGAACAGAACCTTGCGCAACTGCACTGCCTTCACCTTCCCACCCCCAAACCTGCTACTCCTGACCCTACTCTGTTCTTGCCGCCCCTTACAGAGAGCTAAACAAGGCATGTTCCGTAGCGAACTCAACGCTGGGCAAGTAGCTCGAAATCAACTAACGGGACTTCGCGCCGCAACAGACCATCTCAGTCATCCTGATCCAGGGAGCTGGGGTTAGTGAAACTGCGGCGTCTCTCACCCCACTCAGGTGTCGGTCTGTCAGAAGGGCTTGCGGCGGGTCGTGTCGTCCCCCTCGAGGTACTGGCCGCCATGCCCCCCCTCGTGCTCGCTCTCGTCCGCGTGGCCAAAGTCGCCATGGAAGTTGTTGAGGTCGTTTTCTCCCACCAGGCTCGTCAGCGCCGCCGCCAGGTGGTTGGAGGCTGCATCCAGCCCTATAGCCCCCGTCGGCTGCATGGCTTCGGTGATGTGCATCTCGACTGCTTCCACCGGCTCTGTCTTCGGCTGATGGTGCTGGTGGTTGCGGCCCTCCCCTTGCCTGCCCCCCGTGGCTGCCTTGGGCTGCGCTTCCCGTTGCTGGGTCTGCCATGGCTTGGTCATGAAGGTCTGTCTCTCTCTCTCTCTCTCTCTCTCTCCCGGGCATAGAGGTCGGTCAAGAACCCCGGGCTTCAAAGCCCACCCGCATGACTTTTGTGCCGGTCTCGGGGGGTGAAGAACGAGTATAACATCTCTTTCGGGCTAAAGCCTTAAAGAATACGATGACGAGTCTCCGTGACATAAAACAGAAAAGGTTTCCGCGGGCTGAAAAAAAACATGCATCGACTGGGCTACAGGACGGCGGAGTGAAAGGTCGAATTGGCCAGCTCCCTTGTTTCAGGAAATGGCTCAGTTGAGGAACAATACATAATAAGAGAGGGTCAATCCATTCCCCGGTTCTGGAAAACATCTTGGAGTATGCATTTGCCCCCCCCAAGTAGCGGGGTAGACGGTTATTTAATTTGGTAGTCCGTGTCAATGGCTCCAGCGGCCTGTCTTGAAAACTTGAAAAGAAACTTAGATTATGGCGTCCCCCGAGTGCAGGGGTACTCGAATTATCTTCGCTGCCACTCACTTCCTCAATGCCTTTTGTTTGCCCAAGATAGCGGCAGATATGGCAAATTTACCATCCCCGCAAGGGTTGGGGCCTCGATCCATTTTCCAAGGTAGGTTGCTATGTCGCCACGTGAGCTCTCTCTCTCTCTCTCTCTCTCTCCCGAGGCGAGACTCCGTGTTGGAGGCACGCCCTTTTGGTGACGGTCTGCTCAGGTATCTTTGTGTGGGATGCTCGGACCATGATCGGTTATAGCGCAAGTGTTAAGCTAAGACTATATCCATCCAAGGGTCATCATCCATGGCGCTAGAATCTGGGTGTTGGTCCCTTCTTTGCATTATACCGTCCGAACTAAGTACCCGTAACAAACTGAGAAAGCAGGCCGAATGCTTCCATTGAGACCATTGTGCTTGCAACCTTTCGCATTCGTACACAACCGTGCAGCGGAGTCAACTTACTTAGCAGCCAAAACACACATGATCTCTTGTTGCTCTCGGACAAAGGGCCCTGCAGCCCTCGCGCGCCTGCGCGCACCATGATCTCCCTCTGTCTCTCTCTATAGTCTTTTTCCAGTGACGTCCATAGCCAATACGTAATTTTGGTTGACGCTGTTGACGCTGTGAATCCAACAATACGCTGACGACGTTGACGCCGTTGACGCCGTCGATGCCGCGGACGCGGTTGACGCCGCTGACGCCGTCAACATCGTCAACGTCGTCGACGCCGTTGACGCCGCTGACGACGCTAACATCGTCAACGTCGTCGACGCCGTTGACGCCGTTAACGTCGTCACGCGCTTCACGTCGTCACGTCGTCGCGTCAAACCCCACCTCGTCACGTCGTCGCGCGCTGCGCTGCAGGAACTCGCGTTGTCACATCGTCACGGGTTTTTATTGTCGATGTGTCGCCGCGCTCACGCTCAAGTAGGCACGTCGTCTCGCGCGCGGCGCTGGAATCTCACGTAGTTTCATCGTTATATGTCTTGGCGTGTCGCGCTAGGTTGGTACTAGGTTGGTACTACATAAAGCTATGCTTGGAATGATTGTCAACTAAAAGATAAGTAGCTGGATTTCTATATTCAAGCTTGTTGAGATATAGTTTCCAAGTCTTGTATTTTGTACAGAACAGCCCACGTCCAAGTAGTTACGTTGTCCAAGGCACGTGCCTCAGTGGGTCTCGTGTAGAGGGTTAGAGTTTAGGGCTTTGGGCGATTTTGTTCACACTGACATTTTTTGCCTCCTGCATGGCTGAGTACACGAAGCAGGGAGTCAGGAATACATACCGGTGAATTCAGCCGTGCTCCCATTGGGCAATGGCTTGTCAGTTGTGGCTTGCACGTCAATTCAGGACTCTCCAGATTTCAGACTGTCCTCACATTCATCGTATTACTAATTAAGCCTCAGAATTCCACTGCATATGGTACATGCACCAAATTGTGGTGTTCAGCAAAAGTGAATTTCGTATGCAGTACAGGCTCACAAGGCGGTGAATTAGGGTTATGCATGTCAGTTTCAGGTGGTTTGTGCAGCTGCCATCATAGGTATAATACAGTCAAGTTTCAAAACAAGACTGTATGATACCCACAAGAGCGCACAACTTCCCTCGCAAGCAGCTGTCATCCAGTTTGGACATCGTGTTCACGCACAGGAGAAGGTTCTGCCAAAGCACTGCACATCAGCTGTGCAAAACATATGCCCAGATCAATTGCATCCGCGGCTATTTCAGGAATTTGGATGCAGCTGTGACGGCGACGGAGCCATCAGCCATGCAATTCAACCACTTCAACCACACAAAACCAGTCAAAGGTGTACTGCAAAATAGGCACAGAAGTCTGGCCTCACAAGTACTGAACTCGTGTCACAGACACTCTTTTGCACTGCTGGAAGGATAACCTGACACTGAATCCGGTACAGTCCGGTCTCACACACATGCACTGAGCCCAAATCCAAATGGTTTTTTGTACTGTCCATCCAGAGAGCACATTGACTGTGAAAGACGCGGCGCTGCCCAGTCCAGACATGGATTGCCATCCATCACAGAGGGTCACACTGACATTGTTTCCGTAATTTGTGGCCAGCAACGACACATGTAGACAAATTGGCATTGGTCTCTTTCGTCCATGTCATCAAGTCATATGTCGGGAATTTGGGTTATTGTAGCATATCACACCAAATGAGCTCGGCAAATCCTGCGTGCGGACCTGTGACATCGCCATCTCCACCTACGCCAGCTTGGCTGCCACTTGAGCTTTATTTTTGGGGCTTTAAATAAGGTTTAAAGGATTTCATATGGTTATGTGACAACTGAGCAGCAATGTCCCCCCTGAGCCCAAACATAAAGCAAACAACTTATACAGTCAAAAGATATGTCTAGAGGTCCCTACTCGCCACTAGGAAAGAACAAAAATAAAACAGAAATCCTAAGGAACAGCTAGGATACTCGGCAAGCACTGAGGTTCTTTGAGGGCTCTGGCTTTCGAGAAGTCGATCTCACAGGGGCGCACGCAGGATTTGCCGAGCTCATTTGGTGTGATATTATGCTAGAAAAACCCAACGTCTCGACATATGACTTGATGATATGTGGACGAAACAGACCAACTCCAATTTGTCTACATTTGTCGTTGCTGGCCACAAATTACGGAGACAATGTCAGTGAGAACAAAAATCGTCCCATCGAGCTCACAGTCAGCCACCATCACGGGACCTGGATGTAGGTTTAAATTTACAGTGTGGGCAGGGTCCTGTTGTTTTATGTGGTACTGTTACTGTCTTGAGATATAAACATGTGCATACTCTCCATATTACCAGCACTGCCCGACGTCGATGCCGTTGACGCCGTTGACACCGCTGACGCTGTTGACGCCGTTGACGCCGCTGACGCCGTTAACGTCGTCAACGTCGTCGACGCCGTTGACGCCGTTGACGCCGCCGACGCCGTTGACGCCGCTGACGGCGTTGACGCCGTTGACGCCGTTAACGTCGTCACGCGCTTCACGCGCTTCACGTCGTCGCGGCAAAACCGACTTCGTCACGTCGTCGCGTCGTCACGCGCTGCGCCCCAAAATTTACGCGCAGCCACAGACATCAATGCTTTTTCTCTCCGTCCAGGCATAGGCACTCTCTTGTCTGAAACCACCTCTACTTTACAGGCTGACTGAGTCTCAAGCGGGTTCGTCCGGCACCGTCGGCGTCACCTGCTGCAGCCCGCAAGTCATGGCCCACAACCTTTGAGATCTCCGCCTTCTTCTTTACGAACTGCGTCATGTTGGCACGTTCGCGTTCAGCCATGATCTCGGCATACCTCTCAATCCACTAGACTCACTAGACTCTAGACCTGCCAATAACATATGCTGGGTGTCTCTGGCAAGCACCTCCGATACATCGGCCCAAGATACCATTCGAATTGCGGCAGACCTTTTCTGCAGACTGATAGTTGTGTCCAAACGGTCGCATTCTGTGCCAAAATGTTCCAATCGAGGGTTCATTTCATTCAGCTGAGGCTCGCAAGCGGCAAGCCTGCAGCTTCGCAGTTTTGCCTGCGATGGCAGCAACTGCCGAAGATGGCAGGAAATAAATCTGGACACCCTGGACAGTACGGAACACAACGAGCCTTCCTGACTGCGAGCCGTATTGGATGCCTCGGCTCAGCAACACTAAAGATCAGCAAAAGGGACGAATAGACCGTAGTCTCCATGCAGCGGCTCATGGTGGAAACTCTGCCCCCGACCGAAGGAAGGACTGATGTCATTGCCGCCATGGTGGGGACCTCGCAAACAGGAAGGATAGGACCCACACGAGCGAGTTTGGTGCAGGTAGAACAGCTGGGGCAAGGTCTGGGTGGCACAGCAGCCAGGGATGCTTGGCTTCCCTCCCATGTCCCTTGTTCCAAGACGGCTTCTCAGCTGCACAGACCCCTCTTGTTGCTCAACTGTCCGCTTGGTGCACAAGCGCAAAGCAACCACAAATCACACACGGAGTTGACTCTCCATTTTCTGTCGCGAACGTTAAGCGGTGACGACATCACGTGGGCGAAACTGGCCGTCGTCACTCAGACAGTCCAGGAATTCGTCGTCATCTGCATCCTTGGCATCAACCACCTCGCGCTTCTCCTTGACCCCAGGCTTTTCGGCCTTCTTGGCCTTGACAGCCTTGGCCTCTTTGGCATGAGCGCCAGAGATGGCTATGCCTGCGGCATCCTCCAAAAGATCCTCTGCGGCCGGTGACAAGTCGGTAGGCGACGCGTCGTCGGGTGAAAAGTCATCTGGTGCCAGGCCAGCCTCCCGCTTCAGCGAAGCCAGCAAGCTTTCGAACTCCTAGGCTGCAATATCACACCAAAACAGGATCGCACAATCTCAGGATTCGGGCAAAATGCAACCTAGTGCACGGGACATTCTTTGGCATTTATTTGTCGTGTATTCTCCAATTATGTTCGGGTTTCCTGGTCCGCGTGAACCATGAAAGTTAGCATCTCAATAGCACTTGCAAGTTGTACATACATGTGCACACATGCAAGAGTATGTGTGTGTGTACAAACATACCGATCTCCATTTACTTGTATATATATATATACAAAAAAGATGTATATGTGTACGCATACATATATATATATATATATGTATTGGCTTATCTAGTTGTTTAGTTCTTCATGTTTGTAGCCACCTTTGCAAGTCTCTGTATAGTTGCAATTACATCTCCATTTGCCTTCTTAAATAATGTGTCTGTTGTTGATTGAATTTCTGTTTTTGTATGTCTCTATGTTACATTAGATGTATGTGTATATATATATATATATGTGTGTGTGTATACATATATGTATATACGTGTGTATATATATACATATATATACACATACATACACGGAATTAAGATGTATGATATAGAAATATACATACGCAATCACTCACTTGCAAAGTGCGGCACCGTCCCCAAAGCATGCGGGGCGGCAGGCCCCCACCTGACCTACGTGCGCACGACGGCACGCCTCGCACAACAACACAGATCCTTGCCACCGACACTTGCCTGAAATCGTGGTTGACGCGGTACACTTGCTACGCCGCACTGCCAACATCTTCCAACTGTTCGGCTGCGGAACAGAATACGCAGAGAAGATGCCACAGGGAGCGTCCGACCGGGCATGCCTTGCTGCGAAAAAGAGTCGGTATTGGACTGCTCCATGCGAGCCGGTCCAGGGAGCTTGGGGCTGGAATCTTGAAGCAGATCTTCGTCCTGCAGCTGCTGTTTCTTCATTTTCTGCTTCGCTCTCCTCAGATGTCAGAGCTGCGTACCAAAAAAACATGTCATTCTGAGCCAGTGCGTCCAACGAGCTGTCGCTGCTTGCGGGTCTTTTGCTGCTCCACGTGCGCCGCCTGGGCTGCTGTTGCATGAAGTGGCTGCCAGCTGTGCCTAACACACACCTATCTGGTTGTCAAGATTTCGGTCAACGCTCAATCCACCGGACTCGAGCGCTGTCGAGTGGCGTACTCCTGCCTTTCCGCCTCTGATGCGATTGGCTTCTCGACTGCTTTCCTTACGAGGTCGTCTCGAGCCCATCTGTCGACTTCCTGACAAAGCGACACGTCATCAGGCAGCGCATTGAAGCAACTTTGAAGATCTGACATATACAATTCGATAGTCCGCTTCAGCGGGTCGCCGGAATCAAACCAGTTCGACAGGGAACTTTCAAACGGTTTGCTGCCGCCAAGAGTCCTTGTAGTGCGGTGACCACTTCTGAATGCCGATGATGGGCATGGCAGGCGCAATGCCATAGATCAGAAAGACTAGTTCCGACATAGGCATGTAACCCGTGGTGTACTTTTTGAGCATGTCACCCTTCAGCTTCAGTTTGTCGATGTCGTGCTGACGGTTCCGCAAAACGCCTCGTCAAGATTTCCACAGCACATGCGAAAGCAAGCGTGCTAGAAGTCTTCCTTCAGGCTTTCCAAGTGGCGGCTCAGATTTTCAAACCACCACTTGAAGCGCGTTCTTTGCTCCTCCGGTAGCTTGCTCTTGTCTTCCCTGGCATGAAGCAGCAAAACACTTTGCGGATCTACGCTCCCAGTAAACGGTGTGCTGAAATGGACCGGGTGCAAGAACTCAGGAAATGTATCGAGGAAAAGCGTGTCTGGGTCTTGTGGTACGGGTCTCTTCAAACCTCGCGGGAAACGGGCAGGACGCTTCATAGCGTTTGCCAGGCGTCGCAGCCACAGCATGCCCCGAACTCCATAGCAAACGCTAGGTAAACAACTCTGGAAGAAATCTCCAGGAAGAGGGCAATCCAGTCATTGAGAGGCCTTCCACGAAAACTAGTCCATGTGCACCCCGCATGTCGGCCATCCGGAAGACTTAGGTATGGTTTGGATTGGGCGTGGCCAAAGATGCAGGCGGCCTGCCGTCGCTGTGATTTTGGTACGATGACTGCGCCCTGCTAACTGCGGGTACCCACACATCTTGTCTTTAAAAGGCACGCTATCGGCGCGAGCCTCGATTCGAGGGCATTCCCCCGTGTAAGCATGCGGGGTTCCGGTAACTCAAAACCCTTTGAAGGGGCCTATTGGGTTGTGCCTCTAAGCGGCCCCACCCAGCACGGGAATGGTTTGCCCTGTGGAACACAGGGCACAAAGACTTAGGCAACCACGAAGCCGGCAACAGAACGTTCGCGGCCGAATTTCATACAGCACAGAAAATTTCACATCCTGACGTGGAAGCTGCAAGGTCGTAGAATTACAGACGGAATCCTCTCAGCTGCAGGGCTTGGACAAGAAAGCTCCTTCTCGAAGGTTTGACTGGTAACTTCTCTCCACCAAGTATCCGGTTTTCTGCGGGTCCGCATTCGACGGTATTCGGCTCTCACCATAGTACATACTTGCCATTCGAAAGGCTCATTGGAAAATGGGGCGCCTAAACTAGACCGTACCGTACAGGGCCAGTACTGATAGCTCATCAAAGGTCACCGTCGTGCTCGACTCCACCGGATACTCTTTGGTGCCCCCGCCCCCACCCCCGACAGCCCCCCTTCCTCGCCACTCCCCAAGCTGCCTGCCGCCGGAGGAGGAAAGTTGTATCCAAATCCAGCCGCGCCCGAGAGAGCGGAAGAGCGCAGCCCTCGCATCGGTCGCGATGATCCTGAGTCGAGGTCTCAAACAGCGAGTGGCGGCCTCTGGGGTTTGACAGGGGGTCAACACAACGATGCATACGCAGCGCAATCTACGGTATTTACGAAATATAATATCCATACCTCCGAAGAAGCTACGAAGCCATTGCGTTTCGGTGCATGTTGACTTGGAAGCGCACAACCAATACCAGTAGTGACATCTCGCTATCACGCAAGACTGAAACACTTTTGGAAGCGTAGCGGCAGGCGGCGAAGTGCAAACGAAATCGCATTCCAGATCGAAACATCTCAGACATCGATCGGAGCGAATCGTTGCGTATCACCCCACCACTCAAATATGTAAGAATAAATACAGGGTGGTGTGGGCGGGCTGAAAAGCTTGAAAGAACCTCGAGCGGGCAACAGCTGCGGTTGTCTGCTGTTGCCGCTCGTACATGTCACTCCGTGCACACGTGCACTACACGACATCTCGCTATCACGCAAGACTGAAACACTTTTGCAAGCGTAGCGGCAGGCGGCGAAGTGCAAACGAAATCGCATTCCAGATCGACACATCTCAGACATCGATCGGAGCGAATCGTTGCGTATCACCATAGGTGTGCCGCCTGCACCATTAAAGCACACCGGTAGCCCTAAACCTCTCGGAGCCCGTCAGAAGCTCTTCGAAAAGACTGTCCCAATCTCGTTCTAGTTCGATCCAACCTTCGGCTCGAGCGTGGCGAAGGTCACCGCGGCTGACGGAGTCGCTGACGTTGGCTGACGACGTAACACGCTGCCATGCTGGGCGAAAGGATTGTGCCTCCAAGAAGCGCCATGCATGTTGTAGCAAGCAGTTGATCGACTCATCCTTGCCAAAGCCTCGAGTGAGAGCGTGGCGTGCGGGTTCGTTGTCCACGAAGAGCATGACGTGTCGGTCGAGCTGGTCCTCCATGGCGAACAGAGGCAAGATCTGAGCCACGATCTCGAGCATGTATATGTATGCCCGGCGACTCGTGAATGCTCGCACGAACCAGTACGGTACTCTTCCGTGAGCGAAGTAGGTCTGTCCCTGTACGGTAACCACAAAGCCCCATCCGTTGCGGAGTGTCTCCGGGGGTGTCCTTCCCCAGTTGGGAATGTCCTCGTCGGAGGGTTTCCAGTCCTTGTCCAAGAGGTTGAAGAACGCGTCGGCGTAGAGGACCGAGTGCGCCTCTTTGTCGAAAGGAAAGACCTTGGGCGTTGCGTGCCGCAAGCTCCAGCGTAATAGTCCGATCCCGTGGCGAAGCGGTCCATCGAGTCTCCAATCGCGATGATGACGACCAGCGCCTGTGAGTCGAGCTCTGCGAAACAGGGGCCGAAGAGCTGCAGCGTGCGAGCGACCTTGAAGTGACTGACAGTAAAACTGTAGTTTCCCCGCGAAGCTGGCTGCTTCGTGGGGTCTCAAGCGGTCCTGAGTGAGCACGTCCGCGAGCGCCTCGTCGAGCCTCTGTCTCCGCTCTTCTGTGCCCTGCACTGTGACGGACTCGTGGGACACAAGAATGTCGACGCCTTGGATGACCTGTCGCGGGGCCGGCGGTTGCTCCTTAGACTGCTTAAAAGAAAAACCCAATGCTTTGCAAAGTCGACGCGAAGCGTCGAAGGACGAGTTGGCGAACGTGGTGACCTCTGCGCTGCCGAAATCATCGACAAAGTGTAGCGCGGGCGTGAAAATGCATGCGCGGCATAACCAGCCCATGAGGTCCGCTATTCTGCAATAGGACCACACACTCGCCACTGACCCAAACATTAGAACTGTATGGCGCCAGAGAGTCACTCCTTCGGGCGTCGCGAGAACCACGTAGGTGTGCGACGGGTCGAGCGCTGGGAGCTGTCTGTAGGCCGACTCGTGATCAAGGCCCCATATGAGGATCTCGGCCTGCGGGTCGATCTCCTTGATGGCGCGAACCAGCTGCACGTAGGAGTTGACGTCGTGGTACGGCGGGGAGTCCTCCGCTGCGACCGTGGCGTTAGCGAAAGAACGTCTCCAGTCCTCGGCGCGGCGTACTTTGGGGCGGCCATCGGACCCGACCTGGTGGACTGCGAACGCGAAGCACGTCGGCTGGTGTTCGCCTGGGCCCTCGAGTAGCTTGCTTGTGTGCTCGTGCGATGCGAGCGGCACTGCGCTTTTGGGCCAGTCCGAAGGGCTGGTGAACGGGCCTTCCATGCGCCCGAGTGACACATCGGCTGCTATCTCGTCTGCCATCTGCTTCCAGCAGGGGTCGACGCGGCATCGACGAAGCTTGTCGACGACGTACTGCTTGTTCTTGACCATGAACTCCGCGAGGTCCAGAGGGTTGGCGTAGCGGTCGTCGTTGCGTCGTTTCCAGCCAAGTCCTGGAGCCAGAGGTCCTAGAAGTCGAAAACCACCCTGACCCTGCTGTTTACCTAATTTTAGGTGGCGAGCAATTTACTAAACAAAGCTTGGTTTACACTTCAAATTTACGAAAAAATTTACGTAAAAAAAAAGTGTAAATTAATTTACTTTGTATAGTAAAAAATTTACACTGCAATGTAAATTTTTTTACACTGCAAAATACATGTTTTTAGGTTACACATTCCCGAATTTGAAGAAGTGAAATGCAAGCTAATTTTGGTTGGTTTTGTTTCTTTTATCATGGTTCTGCTTGTTGATTGCATGAGATTTTCCTGCGACTGTACAGTGCGGCATGGTCAGGTGTGAAGATAAAATTATGAGAATTGTGTTGCAAGCATACTTGTTAAGCCATGGTTTTCCATGTTGAAATCGCAGCTCGGTTTGATTCTGTGCTGGGTCGAGCCGGCGGATTGCTTGCGATGTGTGCTTTTTACATGCGAGAAATCGGTACATGTACATTTGCGAGAGTCATCACAATATAGTTTATACCTGCGAGGAGTCCACCTTTACCTGTGCGAGACTCTTGTAGGTTACATGCGAGAGATCTACTATATATATATATATATATACTTTTCTGAGATCCGAGAGTGAGAAAAATTTTCGGACGTTGCAGCTGTGTGTTTGGTCCAGACGAGACCCAGAGGTAAGTGCGAGGCTGGATGGAGACAGAGACAAATGCATTCCATTTTTTTGAGAAATCATAAATCCTATACATACACAGTATATACAGTCTTGCGAGCATGGCTTCCTTAGCAGCTGCAGCTTCGGTCAAGCTGGCGGAGGGCGCTTCCGCTGCAACGGGCAAAAATGCCAAGGACCGAGTGGTTGCCGATCCGCTTATTACAGCAAAGGAGCTGGCGAATGTGGTGTTTGGCTTTCTCGAGTTCAAGAAGACGAAGGACCTGTGGCCTTTACTGTGCCCCCCTCCGGGCGGGCCAATAAGCTACACTTGGCACACTGCCGCCCACGGTCCGTGGTTGGCAAAGACAGCTGGGCTGCTGTTTGACCTTCTTCGCCTCGCCCCGAACACGAAGTTGTTGTCGCAGCGGGTTACCCGAAGCTTTTGGATCCTTCACGAGCAAAAGAACCTGCTGCTCGAAGGCCACAAAGACTACAAGGCAGAGGACCTTGTGGACAAGATGGACACCGCCATCCGTCTTCTTCTTAGCCACCTCCGTGCGATGAAGCAGAAGGAGAGCTTCAAGCGGAAAGTCTACAGGTCCCTGTCGCACGAGGATCAAGTGTGCAGTGGCTGCACATATATATGTTTTTCGTGTTTTTTCGCTGTATATATAATTCGTGTGACGGAACAAAGAAGTGTTGCAAACTTTTTTTTACCTATAAGTCTGTGGAAACATACAATCAGGAAGCTTGACCTTTGCCTGGAAAGGGTGCAGGTGCAGGAGTTTGCCCCGAAGCCTCTTGATTCCCCCAGCACGGCCCTTGTTCCCGTGAACGAGGATGAGAAGCCTGTTCCTTTTCGTGGTGACGAGAAGCTTACTCCTTTGCAGGATGTTGAGTTCCCGGAGTTGCCGGAAATCTTTAAGAACAGCAGCCCGACCAAGTTTCCGGACACCTTGAAGAGCAGCGAGCCGAAGAAGTTTGCGGAGAAGTTTGTGCACATCCATAAGAGCAGCAAGCCGAAGAAGATCGTTATGAAGAAGGGCACCCTGAAGAAGAAGGCCACAAAGGCAAAGAACAAAAAGGCAGGAAAGGCAAAGATCAAGACTGGTGCCGGGGCTGAGCCGGCCAAGGATGTGGAAGTGATCTCTTCCACGGATGAGTGCGACTTGGACATCCTCAAAAATGCCATGGCTTTCATGCCGCCGGTGTCTGTGGCTGTGGCCAAAAAGAAGGGTGCTTCGAAGCCCAAAGCCACCGGCAAGCCGAAAGAGAAGAGCCCCAAGCCCAAAGCCACAGCGAAGGCGAAGTCGGCGGCGAAGACGAAGGTGGCGAAGCTGGCGGCGAAGCCGAAGCCGGCGGCGGCGACTTCGCCGTCTAACAAATGGCTGTCCGCCGAAAAGTACGGATCTTGCAAGGTAGAGTTCTACTCTGAGAAATCCTACATCCGCAACTACGATAACGGCGGCAAGCTGAGGAGCATCATTTCCAGTTGCTGTCCGAAGCATCATGAGGTGATCGAGAAGATGATTCCCTATGTCGAGCAGGGCATCCCGCTCTTGGAGCTCTACAAGCTGCGACAGGACGTCATGAAGTCGCTGGGGGTTTGAAAACCAAAATGTGTTCAGTGCGGGATGATGTGCACCCTGGGTTTTCTGAACTTTGTAGACTATATAACAATCTGAGTTTCAAGCATATATATGTTGTATATAAACGTGGTTTGTTTTCCCACAACTCTGAGAAAACCCATGGGTGCTAGTCACGGTGTGTTTCTATATGTCTTTCGTTTACATGTAGAGCACTACATCTGCCACAATGCCATCTAGCATAATGCATCTTTGGCCCTTTTAGTGAGAAGCACAAAAAGGGTGAACCTTCCGGCAGCAGAGGGGCAATGACTGCGAGAAAAAATGTTTCTTGCATTTGTGTGTGTGTGTGAGGTTGAGTGCTTCCTGTTCTGTGTGATATATGTATTTGATCCCTATCATATACTGTATATATAAGCCTTTGTAACCCCGAAACCACCAATAGCCTAAAGCCTCAAAGCAGGTTTACTTGCGACGGTGATTTTTGTATATGTACTTGCGATGAGTTCTGCTTTTTACCTGTGCGAGTGTTTCCTTTTACATGCGATGTGAGGAGCTTTGTATATTACTTGCGAGATTTTCCTTGTGTGCACCTTTACATGCGATGGGGAGCTTTGTATATTACTTGCGAGATTTTCCTTGTGTGCACCTTTACATGCGATGGGGAGCTTTGTGTTACTTGCGAGATTTTCCTTGTGCAGCTTTACATGCGATGGGGAGCTTTGTGTTACTTGCGAGATCTACCTGCGAGTGTGTCTTGCCTTTAAAGCAGTATTTCACAAAAACCCTCAACCCTCACTAAGCCCTAAAACCCAAAACTAATTTTAAACCCATAAACCCTATATAAACCCCAAAACCCGAAACCCCAAACCCGACTCCCCAAACTTAAACCGCAAACCGACAGCCCGGATTCCTTGTGAGCCCCCAAAAAAACATTCTCCAATGTCTAACACTTTCGAGTTGGAATTGCTTGAGTGCAGAGAATGCCGGCTGAAGAGGTTTATCGAGGCTTTTTTGCGAGATGATGTTGGAGCCGAAACTTGTGGCCGTGGTCGCTGTTTCCTTTACAGCAGGAGAGACTCTAGTTTTGCGACGTAGTATCTCCTACACACGATGTGTTCGACACGATGTCACCACCATGTGCCGATGCGGCTTATCCTCACAGTATTTGTAGAAGGTTTGGATTGTAGATAGCTTCGCATAGATGCTCTGGACTTTTAAAGCATACAACCCAAAGCCATTACCGAGTTTCGGGTGTCAGGCTTTCGGCGCCGGGGCTAGGCTCTAGGCACATTTTTATCCACAAAGAATAAAGGCTGTTCACTTTGGGTGTTCTAACACATATATAGCAAGTTTTGCTTCGCGGCCATGGCTACTGTCGACTGCTACCGTGTCTACGTGAAGAATGTCACGTACAGTGCGACGAAGTGGGCCACTCGAAAGAAAAGTAGCTTTGGGTTTAGGGTTTAGGGTTTAACATATATACTTTATATGTACACAATATGTAGATATAGATAAACTCAATACACGTCTATTGGCCACAATCTGACACTCATTACTTTTCTTTTGTGTCTAATTATATATGCTTATATCTACACATATATACAAAGGGTGAGGTTGGTACACATATAGACAGGCATACATATATGTAGTTACATGAGAGAGAGCCGAGGCGATCCGGGCGGCGATCGAAGAGCTTGGGGTGCTGGATTGCCGGAACATCCAGGTGGTGAGGGAACGGTACTGGGAGAAGAAGCTGCAGCGGCCAGATCACTGCAGCATCTTCTTGGAGTTCGCAACTTGGTTTTTTTTATATTACTTGCGACCCCTATATAAACCCTAAACCCTAAACCCTATCAACCCCAAACCCCTAACCCCCAAACCCTAAACCAAAGGACTCGCCAGATGCCGCTCAGCTTGCCCGGGCTTCGCTCGACGGGCAATGGCATGGGAAAATGGCGACGAACAAGTACCTGGTGGCAGAGCTGGCGAAGCCGCCCCCTTCGAAAGCTTCGAAGGAAGACGAGTCGTGGGGCAAGTGGGCACCACCACCAGAACAGCCGCCTTGGAAAGGCCCTCCGCCCACCCCCCCTCCACTGGGCCAGGCACCACCGCCATCCCAAAGCCCACCAGAGCCCAATGTCCCAGAACCAGCACTCCCACCAAAAGCCAAAGCAATGCCGACCCAGCCCCCGTACCCACCGCCGCAACACCTTGCACCACCACACCCAAAGGTTCCACCTGAGCAACTTTACGGTTTGGAGACGGTGAAGCCGCAAGCCTGGGAGCTCTGGGTACATGGTGGTCCACGACCCAAAGAATCTTGCATTGCATAGTTCAACAACATGTTTTGTTACACATATCTGCATGTGTTTTTATATATATGTATATATAATCAACATGTGTACAAAGAGCTATAGGGCAGCTAGGGGGGCCAAATCTAAGAATGCTATATGGCATCATGTGAGAACCCCAAACGACCCGCCCTAAAAGATTCATAGTTTCATATTCCGACGACAACACCAGCCCCAGGAGGATGCTGCTGCCCCGCTTGCAGAAGGAGCCTTCGATTCGAACACCAAGACCGAGGCCTGTGGGTGTGTGTACCCTTACTTGTGAGAAGAAGAACAAACTCCAGAGCCACACAATGAAGTAGAGCTCCCACAAAAAAGGACAACAAGCAGCTGCCGC